GTTCACCATGTAAGAACTTGTTCGTTATGCTTCAGAAGATTGGAGACTGTTGAGAATTAGGCTTGGGGTTGATTAATGATTGTGCATTGAGTCCCCTATACAGAATTTTATTGTTGTTAACAACCATATGATCAATAAATATGAGAGATGCCCTCTCAAAAAAAAAAAAAATCAGCAGTGAAACCATCTGGTCCTGGAGTTTTGTTCTTAGGTAGATTTTGATTACTAATTCAATTTTCTTGTTGGTACTTGGTCTATTCAGATTTTCTGTTTCTTCCTGAGTCAGCCTTAGATGGTTGTATTTTTCTAGAAAGTTGTCCATTTCTTCTAGGTTATCCAGTTTGTTAGCATATAATTTTTCATAGTATTCTCTCATAATTCCTTGTAGTTCTGTGGTGTCTGAAGTTATTTTTCCTTTCTCATTTTTGATTCTGCTTATGTGTGTAACTCTCTTTTTTTCTTGATAAGTCTGGCTAGTGGTTTATCTATTTTATTTTCTTGAAGAACCAGCTCCTGCTTTCATTCATTCTTTCTATTCTTTTATTCTTCTCGATTTTATTTATTTCTGCTCTAATCTTTATTGTGTCCCTCCTTCTAAATGACTTCTAAAAGGGCCTCATTTGTTCCTCTTTTTCTAGTGTCATTAATTGTGAGTTTAGACTGTTCATTTGGGATTGTTCATCTTTCCTGAGGTAGGTCTGTATTGCAATTTACTTCCCTCTTAGCACAGCCATGTTATTGTATTTTATGGGAAAAAAATGTTAATTCTATGACCTCAGTTATGTAAAAATATGTGTTGCTGAAGCAATAGAAGAAAACAGTGCATGTAAAAATGTTCATAGCAGTTACCCCAGCATAGTGAGATTATAGGTAAATTTTTCATCTTCTTTTTCTTTATGTATTTCCAAGATTTTTGCAAGCTAAATTTTTGGTTTTGTTATTTTGTTTACCATCTAGTTGTCCTATCTTTGGCACTCAGGAAACACATACAATGGGAAATAAAATTGGTTTTACTTACTAAAAAAAAAAGAGACTTTTTTCATCTGAAAGGATAAGAGAATTTTATATCCCATTATGAAGTCTTACATTTAGAAACATGTAATTTTAAGCTTCCAAACCATTAAAAAAATAAGGTAGGCATAAAGTTTTAAGTCTCCCAAATAGATTATTCATTTTTTGTGATTAATAGAAATTCATTTTTGAATGATGTGTTTTAAGAGGAAATGTAGGGGTCAATAAAAATATGGAACACAGTAAAAGCAGACAGTAAACACACATGTAGTTTAACTATACCATTCAAATTCCACCTTGCATCTGTTTTTTCTGTTTTAATAGAAACAATAAAGATATGGAACCCGTCTCTCTGTGTTCTGGCTACAACATCCTGAAACAGAAAAAAAGAACCCTTTGTGTTATTTTTTTAAACTGCTCCATAAAATGCAGCTAAGCAATTATTCACATCTTAAAACATTCTGGGTTACTTTTAAAAAACACAAATAAAACAGTGAAAAGGAATGGAAGGCAATGGAAGCATAGAGGACAATTGAAGGATTTTCCAATTTTTTTTTTATCACCGTCTTCCCAGACCCAAAGGGATGGAGGAGGAAAAAAGCTTTTTTGACTCTTCAGTGTTTTCTACCTTTTGTATTTTCACAGGATCTCCCCCAATGTTACAATGTTATTATTTAATATTACCATTTAAATACTTTTTCTAATAATATTCTTCCCGTATGTTATCCTTGGATTAAGCATTTTTTTAAATGTGTACATTTTAAAACTGGAACTGGGAGAGGAAGAAGTCAGATTATATTGTTAGACATGGCTGATTCAGTGTATTGTTAAATACTTAAATTCCATAAGGAACTGTGGAACATAAGGAACTAGCGGCCCCACTGAGAAGTAATTGCCCACTGCAATGCCCATGAGCCCTCCAATGCCCCCACATAACTTTTCACATTCCTCCTTCTGGAATATTCCCTATCCCTCCCTTTCATTTCCTCTTCCTCCTCCTGTGACAGTCTGTGCAGAGTCCCAGCTGCTGGACAGTGAATGCCTTTGCACCCTCAACCTACTCTTTTGGATGGCTGAACATGAGAAACACGGAGAGTCACAGTATAAAAGCAGGCCACATGCTCTCCTAAGCCTGCTTTCAGTCCTACTCACAACTACTAACTCTCTTGACCTCTGGTCTTCTGACTTTCCGTAACTCCCCGAAATACCAAATTTCCCCTGCCTCCATGCTACAACTCATGACTTCTATTTCTTTAAATCCTTAATGACGACCCATACCAGCCCACTGCTATACTGTCTCAGGCATCTGAAAGTGGAATTTCATTTTTTAAAGAAAAGAAAGGCTGCCTAAAAGTTAACCTTAAATTACAACTTTAAAGAGATTTTTAAACAAGGACAGAAACAAGTATATACAACATTCATATAGACATATGTAAAAAAAGAGACTGTTCTAAATAACGCTTCTTTCTACTTTACCAATTCTAATAATCTAACTTTTTATCTCTTTCCAGATATCTATCCATCAGCAAATTTTCAGTCTCACTACAACTTCTATATATTTGATTTAAAGACAAAAAAAATGCCTTACCATTGATCCTTCCTGGTTTGAAACATTTCTGTTCTCTGTAATTAGTTCCTTATTCTTGGAAAGAAAAAAAAAATTCCATGTTATACTGCTGCATTTCTTTGGGGCAAATTAAAGACTTCTTTTTTAATAATTATGAAAAAAAATATCTGATGTAAAAAGTAAAGATTTGAAAGCTGAACACTAGAAAACAAATTGTAGCCCCAACATGAGCAATAAAATCCTGCTTTTGAAAAATAACTTCCTTAATCAGGACAGTGATTGTCATTGGTTGGGAAGGCATCGAAACTAAGAGGGGGCTCAAGTGCTAAAACAGTCTGTGCTTGATCTAGATCTATACTGTTCAGATTTGAAAAGTCATCTACCATATAGTTCTGATATACACATTTAACTGTGTATTTATTATACTTCATAATTTTTAAAACAACCTCTTTAAAATGTTTCATTTCATTTCATAATTTATGGAACAAAAAGATGTTAGAATGACCCTCGGCTTTACAATGAAGGGATGACTACTGGTAGCATTTTAGAATCTAATCTTCCACGCTGTGACGGAGAAGGCGCACAGGGGAGGAGAGCGTGTTAAATATTCGTAAGCCAGGTAAGCTGACACATCTGTGGGGAGAGTGGACTTAACAAAAGGGAGGTCACTGGTGACCCTGAGGAGAGCTGTTCGGATGGAATAACAGGGGCAAATGGCTGCCTAGAGTGGACAGAAGAGAACAAGAGGGGAACTGACAGCAGGTCATGTGAGGACAGTAAAAGGCTCCTCTTTCAAGGATGCTGCCGCAGAGGGGTAAAAGAGATGGAATAATGGTGCCAAAATCATACTTATCATGCACTACCACACACACAAAGACTCAATCTAAGAATTAACAAATTAAGGACCTTTCTTTATCAAAATATTGCTGAAACAGAATTTAAGTTGATATTCTCTGGGAGTCCATTCTGTTCTGATGTGGCCAGGCAGGTACTCACATTCAGTGGGGGAAACAGCTGTAAACCAGTGCTGCAATCTAAGTTTTCATTTTTTGTTGTCCAGCACTCAGTGTTCTTGAAATAATGGTCACAAAGGTCTTCAGCAACACTAAGTTCATGGTTTTGTGACAGCTCTTCCTATCCAAGGTAAAATTCTATGTTATAATTTATTTCTACACCTCTTATCTAAGACGATTTAGTAAAACTTAGAATCTAAGTAATACCAAACATTTACTCAGTTTGGAACATTTGAAAGCATGCAGTAAAACAACATACTGAAAAGAAAAAGGTTTGTGTATAACTGAAGTAATTACAACATTTTAGCCATCAGTGTGCTCACATACAGAAATATATAATACAAGCATCATCTTACAGGAGGAAAAGTGACTGCAGTATTACCACACTAGGAAATGGTTGATAGGGAAATAAAAAATAACTTTGTTCTGGGACTATTTCTCTTTTATCCCACATATAAACGATTTTTCAGCAGAAGAAAGCATTTAACTACAAGCAAAGATAAACCAAACATGAGTCTCTTTATATCTCAGACAGATGAACAAGACCAGGCTCCTAATGGTAGCTCCCAGTCATCAAAAGGTTAAAGTTGGCTTCTACTGGCCAAATATGAGACAATTTGAGCAAAAAAAAAGTAGTAGGCTATAATTCATATGACAAAGTAAAAATCATTGAGCCCACACTGATGGCTAATCAATTGACTGACTGGCTGGCTGGTAAGATGGAGAAGGGAGAGCTCATCCTCACAGAAAAATGCTAATAAATGTCGAAGAAAATATGGAATTAGAAGATAACCATGTATCAATTGTCACAGCAAAAGCTGATTCATCAGGCAAGAATCAAAGGATATAAAATAAGGATGGATGAAAAAATAAATGGTATTTACATACAAATACAAAAGCATCTCTTCACAAATTATTGTTAACAACAAAGAGAAACACAGTAAGTAACTTCATAATGGAGAGAACTCACAGAAACTCAACATCACCAGAAATGGGACAAACCAGTATTCTCTGGCATGCCTGCCAAAATTATGACCTGACTCTAATCACAAAGAAACATCAGAAATACTCAAACTGAGGGACATTTCGTAAAAATAAAGAACTTCTACATTATCAGTCGTGTCACAGAAGACCCCAAAAAGGCTGCAGAAATACCATGTGATCTTGGAATGGATCCTGTATCAGGAAACAATAAAAACAAAAACCAAACCTGCTAAAAAGGATGCCACTAGGATGATGGCAAAATTTTAACAAGGTCTGTTTATTAGATAACAGTATCGTATTAATGTTAAATTTCCTAATTTGATTATTGTACTGTGTAATCTGGGTGACTGTCTTTGGTCTTAGGAAATACACACTGAAGTATTTAGTGTGAAGGGGTAAAATATTTAGGGTTCATGTCAAAAGGCAATCAAGAAAATACCATCTTTCACCCCGAGTGGAAAGATACTACTACAAATAAAAGTATGGAAACCCACCCATTATTCAAGCTAGGAGACAACAGGTAACCAGCAAGCTGAACAGGAAGAAATTCCCAGCAACCATCCTGAGAACCAGCAAAAGGGACACTGCTGTGGCATGCAAGGCGCCCAGACTTCAGAGCTGGGCAGGAAGGAGCCGTGCACAGCCTCTTTCCTCCTCTCGCCTTCCCACTCCTCTCCCCTGCTGTCTCCTTTCCTCTCCTCACCTTTCTGAGATCTACTTTACACACTAAATGTACTCGGACTCACTAAAGTTATAGGTTCCCTGTTCCTAATTTTTTGAATGAAGTGAGACTTTTACATTTGTTTCTTAAGCTGCTTTTTATGTGGATGTGACCCATAGTCCTTTTATTAATGGCTCTTACATGTGTGATTGAAATATTTACTAACATATTTCATATGATACAGGGAAACTAAAAGATTTACATTCTTCTCAGAAAGCATGTATTTGATATAATTAAAGCATTTATTGACTAAACCCTGGAACACATCTGTGGCACTTTTTAAACTACAATCGGTATTTCTAGCCTCCTCACTTGATGAACTAATAAATCTTTATACTCATACTTTTCTTCACAGCTTTATATACATTAAAAATTTGTATTTTACTTACTTCCAGCCTAGAATATTCATTTTGACAGGTATGATGTTTTAAATACCACTCTATGGTAAACTTCACAGGCCCGGAACAACTGAATGACTTAACTGTTTAGAAAAAGAAAATCTCATTTTACAACAATACATATATTCTAATATAAACTTAGGTTATCAAAATGCAATTTAAAATAGGCTACTTTAATGAAACAATGAATAAAATATTACCTAATTTCTCCAAAAAGTCACTGCAAAATGAGACACATAAATTCATTAAATTATTAGTTACCAAAAACTGTCATACTACTCATTTCATCTGTATGCTAAGTCCAGTGTTAAAATCAACTGAGCAGCTGGATGTGTAAGTCACTACTTATTTCATCCAAAATATTCTCCTCACTGACTTATTCTTTCAAAAGTACTGAGCGAGCACCCCTTGTGTGTCAGGAAGGGACAGAATGGTAAACGGGGACAGTCCCTGTGCTTGATGTACAGTATTGGGGAGGAGAGGTTTAACAAACAAGCATCTCTGCTAGAATGAGGGGCTGAGAACAGGAGGGCAGGCAGGGCACCTAATTAAGCCTAGGAAAGCATGAAGAATGGGGTGCCAGCAGGCTTGCTGGAGGAAGAGACCTTTAATGTGAAGAGAGAGCAGGAGTTAGCCAGGGGAAGAGGAGGGTGGAATGGTTGTGCAAATGCCCAGGTATGTGAGCATGGCATGAATATGGCCACCTGAAAAGTTTGCTATGCTAAGGACAGACTGGGGAAAAAGGAAAGAGCTGAAGCTGGAGAAAATTCGTATTATGCTCTCCTAAGGTGTTTTCCTTTATTTTCAATATTATAAAGCACCCCCAAATGTTTCAGGTGGAAGGGTAATGTGATTAAACAGACTGAGAGAAGTCTAGAATCAGAAAAAGCTCTTTTGGGAGTGTCATCACAGTGTGGCAGCTGGCTCCCCCCAGAGCAAGTCATCAGACACAGAGCAAAGAAGAAGCCACAATGTCAGAGATGTGCCATGACTCTTGCTATACTCCATTGGTCAGACCAACCTGGATAGAATATGGTAGGGGACTACACAAGGTCATGAATACCAAAAGGCAGGAATCATTGGGAGCCATTTTGAAGGCTGGCAACCAGAGGGAACCCAAACTGAAGCTCAAATGTTGATGCTCATAGAATTTCTGGGGCAGAGCACCTAAGAGTTGGGAGCTACGCAGATAAACAGTGTAAGAAATGTGCACAGAGATACCCTTCAGTCTCTGGCTGCACAGCATCCTGCCCACACACAGTGAGATGCCCAACAATTCTCAGCTCACACAGGGCTGGGAACTGCTCCACTAGCCAGAGTGGAGGGGCCTCATTAAATATACCAAGCATTCAAAAGGGACATGGAAGGTCAGATGTTAAAAGGGTGCTAAATTAGTCCTACTGCCAAGGTTACTCCAGATCCATCCTTAAAAAAAATTAAGAAAAAAATTGGAAATGATGGAACTCACCCAAAAGACACTTTACTGCTAGAACACAGTTGTTAAAGGAATACAACATCATAGCACTCAAGAATGTAAAATTCACAATATCCACCATCCAAATAAAAACACTAGCTATAAAAAGTAGGAAAATTTGACTCATAATCCTGATATGAATCAGTCAATGACAAATGGTGGAAAAAACAAAGGTGATGTAATTAGTAGAGAAAATTATGAAAGCAGCTATTATAAATATTTTCCATATGCCCAAAGATGTAAAGCCAATATCAAATTACTGAGGAGAAGAAAAAGGACATTTTAAAAAAAGAACCTCTAGAGAATAAAAAAAACTATATCCAAAATAAAACATTCACTGTATGAGAGTAACAACTGATTAGATACTGCAGAAGAAAAGATCACTGAACTTGAAAACAAAACAATAGAAAGATCCAAAATAAAGCACAAAAAAAGACTGAAAAAAATTAAAAGGGCCTCAGTCACATATGAGACAATATCTAACAGTCTAATATATGTAAATGGAACCACAAGCAGGGAGGACCATGGTGGGATTAGAGTGTCCAAGTCCATGGTCTAACAGTTGAGATTTTTTTCAGTGTGGATCTCCAGTTGGTTCAGCATCATTTGTTGAAAAGACTATCCTTTCTCTAATAGACTACCTGGCACCTTTGTTGAAAATCAGTTGACCTTTACATAGATGAACTTATTTCAGGGCTGTTCCATTGGTCTATATGTCTATCCTTATGCCAGTACCACACTGGTATGATTATTGTGGCTTTATGTAAGTTATAAATTTAAGATAGTAAAAGCCTTCCAAATTTGTTTTTTTTTAAATTGTTTTGTTATTTTAGGTTCTTTGTATTTGCACATAAGTTTTAGAAACAATTTGTCAATTTCTACATAAAAGCTTGGATTTTTATTGGACTAACTGAACTTAGAGCTCAATCTGGAGAGAACGGACAGTATAATGCTAGTTACAGATTTTCCACTGATGCCTTTTATCAGGCTGAGGAAGTTTCCTTCTATTTCTAGTTTTGTAAAAGTTTTTATCATGAATGGATGCTGAGCTCTTTTCAAATGCTTTTCTGTAATACAGTGAGATGATTATATGGTGTATTTCTTTTATTCTGATAACATGGGGAATTACACTAACAGATTTTTCAACAGTGGCTCCACATAACCACATCTTGAATAAGGTAGCAAAGGAGCGACTACCTAAGGGAAAGCCAATGTCTGATCCACCACAGAATAGACACACTTACAGGTGACCAGTTCATAGCTTTGCAGGCACTAAGACCTGGTTCTGTGAGAACATAGAGATATAGTCTCACCCCTTCACCACACCACTAATGTAGATATATAAATCACAATGCCAATTACTTAGAACAGCAACTGTAAAGTGGATAAGTAATGATCAACTAACTCTCCTCAGCATGCACTCCTGCACACTGAATGTGATGAGAAGGCTGCTTGGTGAGCATGGCACCAGACCCAGGAAGCTCAGCTGAATGCTGCAGCCATACCTGCCACCCATGTGTCATAGCTATACTCCTGGGTCAAGACCTCTCTCCCAACTCCTAATGGACACTGCCAGCTATTGACTGACTGAGCCCTCATTTTTATACGCCTTTGCTCCTAACTCCCTTCTGCAGCCTTGTTCTTTCTTGAGGTATGTTAATACCACTGTCTAGATTATGGTGTACTCTTAGGCTGATCTCAGAAATTTTGTTTGACTTCTTTCAAAACCAAATTCTGTGTTTTACTGCTCCATACAACTTTTTGTCCCTCACCTAATTTTTTCATTCACACCAGTCTTTTAATTCTTATTTATCTAGACATTGAGATACGAATTCATTAAAGCAATCAGACGCCAAAAATTTTTCCTCACCCACCTTGGACTTCAATTTCCTCTTACCAAGTTCTTATCACCACTGATGATCTGTGATATCACCAAGCTGCTTTGAACCACCTCTGCTTTCTAGCTGATGGCTCTCCTACTCCTCAGCAAAGACCCACATATGGTCATCAGAGCATGGGGTGCCAGAACAAAGGCACGTGGCTTTGGATCCCTAGGAAGCCAATGTGCTCTACCCAACAAAGAACTACTCCTTATCCCCAAATTTTAAGCCTAGCAGACAAATTACCTAGTCAAATTACTAGAGACACTAAGAGGAGTTAGACTACAGTAACTATGATCCAATGTAAACCCATTAAAAATATTAAGAACCTTAAGACATATGACTTGGTAGTCCCTGCACATCAGTATTTATGTACATTTTTATTTTCAGAAACCCTAAAATCCTAATTAAAATGTTGGTATCTAGCAATTTTTATTTCATACTATGATCATGTACACATTTAGAAAATTTTCAGGGGCATAAAAGTTTTATTACAATCATGACATTTCATATATTCACAAAAGGAATTTTATCTAGTTTTAGAAGCTGGATTTCACAGAAGTCAAATTTCACAAAAGTCAATTTTTTTTTTTTTTTTGCTAAAGCTACTTTATTAGACTTTAATTATAATTTTTAAAGAAGGATTCATATTACATTTCCTAGGACCAGATCAGAAAAATTCATTCTTAAAAATAACCAGATCTGAACAACAGCAAATGTTGATGAGGTTGTGGAGAAAGGGGAACCCTCCTACACTGCTGGTAGGAATGTAAACTAGTTCAACCATTGAGAAAGCAATATGGAGGTTCCTCAAAATGCTCAAAATAGAAATACCATTTGACCCAGGAATTCCACTTCTAGGAATTTACCCTAAGAATACAGCAGCCCAGTTTGAAAAAGACAGATGTACCCCTATGTTTATCACAGCACTATTTACAATAGCCAAGAAATGGAAGCAACCTAAGTATCCATCAGTAGATGAATGGATAAAGAAGATGTGGTACAATATACACAGTGGAATATTATTCGGCCATAAGAAGAAAACAAATCCTACCATTTGCAACAACATGGATAGAGCTAGAGGGTATTACGCTCAGTGAAATAAGCCAGGCGGAGTAAGACAAGTACCAAATGATTTCACTCATATGTGGAGTATAAGAACAAAGAAAAAATTGAAGGAACAAAACAGCAGCAGAATCACAGAACCCAAGAATGGACCAACAGTTACCAAAGGGAAAGGGACTGGGGAGAATGGGAGGGAAAGGAGGGATAAGCGGGGCAGGGTAGAAAGAGGGCATTACGATTAGCATGTGTAATGTGGGGGGAGGGATGTGCAACACAGAGAAGACAAGCAGTGACTCTGTAACATCTTACTACACTGATGGACAGTGACTGTAATGGGGTTTGTGGGGGGGACTTGGTGAAGGGGGGAGCCTAGTAAACATAATGTTCCTCATGTAATTGTAGATTAATGATACCAAAAAAAAAATAACAACCAGATCTTGACTGAAACAAAAGAACCACTTAGAAACAAAACATTTGCCTAGTTTATAATACATATATATAATATATATCAGTTTATGTTAAATTAATGTATGATGTATATTACATTACATTTTATTCATTTCTAATGTTACTGTATTCGTTTATTATACTTACCAGAAAACTTGATCTCAGTAGAATTAAACATAGTTTTCCTAAATATCAAAGGTCCTGATCTCTAAAAAAAACACAGAAATATCTTGTTACAAAACAACTTTCTCAACTGTTTATGTAGTTTCGCAGTAGAAAATACATAGTTCTAATCCTCACACTTCTATGAGCAGAGTGATTTTTTTTAAAATGTAAATCTGATCACATCACTTACTTGCGTAAAACCTTGTCTGACATATCTACTCCCTGCAGTTGATATGACTCCAGAATGTTCCTGCCTGTAGCATCTCAGCCAGGGGCCAGCAACACACAGGTAAGGGCTGGAGCATTTCCATGATTACTATAGCTCTGACACAGGATCTGTCTGCACTTGCAGTTGCTCTCTTGGTATCTATATGAATGTAAATTTGATAAAACAAACACCCCTCTCCTAAATTGTTAAGGTTTATCCCTGTGTACAGGGATAAACAGACCACTTCTTACTGCAGCTCACAGGAGCCCGCATCATCAAGGCCCACCCAATTTGCGAGCACCTTTTTTTCAAGTTCCTCAAAAGCGTGATACTCCTTCCTGCCCTCAGGACCTTGGTGGTCGGCCTGAAAATTTTAAAACCCTTCACTGTCACTCTTTTTTCACCTAGTTAATTTCATCTTACCCTTCAAAGCCCCTGTCCAAAAATGCCTTCCTCAGGTCTACCACCATGCCCCATACCAGGCCAGGCCTTCCCTTACATGATCTCTAGGACCCACTCTTCTTCACAACCCTCTCCCCCATCAAAATGAAATATTGTATGCCCTCACCAAGAGTTAAAATGCTGTGAGAAGGGATTGTGTTCAATGACCAACTGGTCAAGAATGAAGAAAAACACTGCCAGGACAAGCAGCTCTTTCTTGATAACAACTGTGCTGTTCCCAACTTTCAACAATAACCATAGAAACCCCAGACCGGATCCCTCCTGAGCTCCAGATCCACACACCGCACTGCCTGCCTAAAGGTCATGCCCACCGGGAGGACCCACAGACATTTCACACTAACCTGCCCGAAAGCAGATGCATCCCTCTGTGCTGCTCACCAGCTCTCCCTACACTGTCCACCCTGATTGGAGGTAATGCCATCCCTAGTCACCCAAGCTTGGGCTCTTCTTCCAGTCCCTCTCTCCATCACCCAGCCCCCCAGGCATGCCTACTTTCACCTCACAAACACTTCCCAAATGTAGCTCTTCCTCTCCATTCCTGCCACCACTGCCCTAATTTAGGCCCCTATTTTCTGTCTATACTTCTGCAATAACTTAAATGGTACTTCTGTCTACAGATGTGAGCCTGTAATTCATAAACCACAGTGATTAGCATTTATGTCTAAAATCCTTCAATCACTCTCCCTCATTCACACCCAAAAGTTGCTACTGGTAGCCTGAAGCCTAATGCAACCTATAAATGGGTTTTTTTGGCCCACAAGCGCCCTTATTTTAAACATTTCGAATTAGCTGACATAATAAAAATATGCATTCTGGCTTTACTTAACCTGGCAATTCTAGTAAAGAACTGTCCACTGCCATATAGTATCCACCAGCTGGCTGCCCTCTTCAGGAGGGGCATTCTAAATGTAATATAATGGGAAATGTAACCTGTACTCTACCATCCCCTCCAGTCCTGAACTGAGTTCACTTCACGTACTGATGTGACTTGCCTCAGCCACTGCAGGTTCTTGAGTTTGGATCCCTGGCCACGGGCTCAAGGCCAAGCTCAGGCATGGAAGGCCTGCCACGGCCCGAGTCCCCTCTAACACTCTTGCCAGAACTTCACTCGGCAGAAACACTAAGAACTTGGTGCACTGCTGCTGCTCCTCCTTCCTCACCAACATAACATTTACTCATCTTTTAAGACTCAGCCAGGCACCAACCCCCAAGTGTGGGGAGGGAGGTGACCCCCTCGGAATTCCAGTAATAGCCCAAGAATGCCACTGTGTATAATTACTACTCATGAATCTGCTGTCCCTACTACTGTGTGAGCTTCTTGAGATAAGGGGTTGTTGTCTAAAATTTATCTTTGCAACAGCAATGGCCAGTGTAGTGCCTGGCACATGGTAGGTGCTCAAACTATCTGCTGACTTGTACAATCAAAAGTACCATTTCTTGATAGATTTGCAGTACAAATGAAAGCCCCACTTGTCTTTCCTCTTCTGAAGGACAGGTTCTGAAATCAGCCTACTTTCTGCAAAGAAGGCTTTCTGGACTCCTGCTGGCCTGAGTACACAGGACTAAAGATTATGTGGGACCAAGAAAAAATTTCTCATCCTCATGCAAGAAGCAAAGTCATTCTTTCTCCATGGACTTTGTGGAGTCTCACTATCCAACGTATACTTGTCAAAGATCTTTGCAGACATGGCCAAGTAGTTTAACAATCTGTATGCAGCTGATTCACTTCCAATAGTGTTCATTCCTATTTATGATATTGCCCATTCACTACAGAAACAGTGTGAAATCATGAGTGTGCTTCTCTGAGTTTTGCTTTTTACTGTTCAGAGAAATTCAGTAATAAAGACATGCATGCTGTATCACTGACACACATAATGGGGCATCAACCCAGAAAAATCCTGAAAGAAATGGCTGCACTGGGTCTTCAGGGTTCAAAAACATACCTACTTTCATTCCTCTGTATAGCCTTTTTGTTGTAAGAATTATTTGTAGCCTCTGCTACTATTTTCTTTTTCTGGTTGAGTAAATCAAAATATAAATTTTGCCTTTACAACTTGGAGGTCATTTCAATGCATATGGAAAATATTCACTTCAATAGAACTGGATCAGCCATCTGACTCCAGAAAAGCCTGAGATAATGCCTCTTCCGATTTCCTGTCCCTCTTAATCATCCCTCCCACATCATCTCATATAGCTACTGGATGCCAAGTTCGCAAATGGCCGGCCCCAGGATGTTTCCACACACTCATGCCTCCTCCAAAACAGGCTTTCAAACACTTTTTAATCACCCTCCATCTATACACACACACACACTCCCGAAACGGTGACAGGTTCCCAAGATCCCTCTTCTTGGGTTGGGTGCATGACTACTGCATGTTCTCATTTAAAGAAAAAAAGAAGCGGCACACACGCTTTTAAGATTACACGGAAACCGAAGTCCGGAAAAGTCCTCCCTGCGGCCTCCCGGGTGTGGCCCTGTGGCCGCGCCCGCACGCGAGTAAGGGTCAAATCCCCAAGAACCCGCTAAGGGGGCCGGGGCTTCGGGCTCAAGTTTGAATAGACTTGTCAGAGCAGAGCGAGGGGCCAGGACTTCGGGAAGGTGAACCGCCCCCACGCACACGCCTGACCGATCTTCCACAGCCCACGTCGGGCCGGTCACAGACCAAGGCTGGGGCCGCACGAAGAGACGCGGAGCAAGCCCGGCAACGGCCAGACTGACGAGCCGGGGGCTGGACCCAAGGGGCCGAGCACGCCCCGAAGGGCCCTGAAGGCCCCAGCCGCGCCACGCCGCTGTCCCGACACTCTACTTACGTCGTTCACAGTCGCTGCCCAGAGCCCGAGCTCGGGGATGGCACGCACAGTCTCCGGGGCCCAGCACAGTAAGCAGAGGACGATGCGCAGCAGCCGGGCCCCGGAGAGAAGGCAACGGAGCGGGAGCCTGACGCCAAGGAGGCAGGCGGCGGCCATCTTGACGCGGAAGCCGCACCTGGCGACCCGTGACGTTCGCCACGCCCCGGATCCCCACCTGTCGCAGCTCCGCCCCCGGGAGGCGGACTCAGGTCCGGTGGGGTGGTTCGGGCTAGGCGATGGAGGAGGGGTTTAGGCTTGGGCGGGTAGGCAGGGCTCAAGGCCGGGCCCAGGCGTGGAACGAAAGGACGCGCCAGAGTGGAAAAGCGGGGCATGGGCGGGCCATAGAGTGGAGGAGGGCGGGGCCGGGAGGGGAGGCGGGGCTGGAGTGGGGAGGCGGGACCGGGAGAAGAGGCTGGGATATGGGTGGGGCTAGGTGGGGCGGGGTCTTGCAAGGAGGATCTAATTTTGTAAATTAAAAATTATGTTGTAGCTTTTTAAAATTACGTAAGACTTGAAAGAGAATGTATAAAATACTCTGGCGCTCAATCATTAATGCGTTTTGGTGCAGATTCAATATTAATACTGTTAACTCAATACTGTTAAATACAGAACTTCTGGATGTGGTTAACACCAGAAATGAATAAATGCTATTCTGCATTTTAAAAATTGCACTTTTGAATTATTATTTTTATGTAAAATACTTGGATTGTATGAAAAATGTTGAGAGATTATCACATAAAGCACCTTTTCCCACATATTTTCAGTTTTCCTTTTTTTTCTTTATATTCTCTGATTTTAGTTTTGATTTGAGGCTCATGTATATATAAATGTGAAGACTGAATTTCTGGTAGTTCTTTTTCACAAGAAACTTGTAATTATAAATCCTATGAACATTTTTCTATTGAGTCAAATTTGTATTGTTTACTAATGTTCCATACTGCCCCCTCGTTATACAACCATCAAAACTCAAGAGCACTGAGAAATAGAATTGTTTCTAGAATACTAGACAATCTTCACCAGTAGGTGACACTAGCAGACTGAAGATATTTTATATAAAATCGTGTCTACTCCAAATGGCTTTTTAACCCAATTTTTAGTTTCCCACTTCAACTGATACTATATATACCTCTAATTTAAATTACTAAAACCTTAATTCAATCAACAAACACTGTGTGCCTTACTCAGAGGAAAGAGCTGCAGAGAGGGAATCCTGAGATCTAAAAAAGATCCTCCTTAAATCTTCAGCAGAGAATTGATTGACCTCTGCATGTAAAGAAATTGTCTGAGGCCAAGAAAAGAATTTTTTTTTTAAAGGAAGACTAAAACAAAGGGCTGGGAAATGTGCCTACTGCCTTCAGTTAACCTAGAAAACTTCGCAATTCAGAGGGCACTGTGTAGAGTACTCAAAAAGGTCTTGCCTGAATAGTGGGAAATAATTGGTCCTCTCTGACCCTTAGGAAAAAAAATCTTAAAAGCAAGACCCAAAGGCATCAAATAGTTTCCAAATAACTGTGTCCTAGAACAAAGCTCAATGTTATTAATAGGAATACAAAAATCTCTAGCCTTCTGGAAGGTCAAATCACAATGTCTGCTGTCCAATCCAAGATTACCAGATATGCAAAGAATCAGGAAAATAAAAGACATAAGGGGGAGAAAAATCAGTTAAAACTGACCTAGAACTGACACATGTCAGAATGAGCAGTAAAAGACATTAAAAATTATTGTAACTTTGTGATTACCTTGAAATGATAGATCAATTTGGGGAGAATTACCATCTTGAGAGTTTTGAGTGTTCTAATCCATGAACATGAAATGTCTCCTATTTACCTCTTTGTTAATTTTTCTCAGCAATGTTTTGTAGTTTTCAGTGTACATGTCTTGCACTTCAGCTATTAAATTTGTTTTTACTTCAGCTGTTAAATTGGTGTCTAAGTATTCTTTTTGTGAATGGAATTTTTAAAATTTCATATTTTAATTGCTCATTGAGTACAAATGCAAAGATTTTTGTGTATTGATCCTATATCCTGTGTGACCTAGCTAAGCTCATTTAATAGCATTTTTTTTTTTTTTTGGTGTGTGGATTCTTTGGGACTTTTATGTACAAAATCATGTCATTTGTGAATAAGCACATTTTACTTCTTTTCCAGCCTTGGCACCATTTGTTTTGCTTTTGCCTTATTATACTGGATAGACCCTTGAGTATGACAGTGAATTGAAGTGACAAAGCAGACAGGCATACCCTATTCCCAGTCTTAGGGGGAAAGCATCAGTCTTTTACCATTAAGTATGATGTTAGCTTTAATTTTTTTATAGATGCCCTCTATCAGGTTGAGAAACATCCTTTTATATCTAGCTTCGTGAGAGTTTTTATCATGAATGGGCATTGACTTTTTGAAATGTGTTTCTACATCTACTTAGATGATCTTTTGGTTTTTTTCCCTTTTATGCTACTAGTATGCTGTATCACATTATTTTTTATAACAGCTTCAAGATATAATTCACATACCATAACATTCACCCATTTAAAGTACACAATTCAGTGTCTTTCAGTATATTCACAGAATTGTGCAAGCATCTTCACTGTCTAATTTTAGGACACTTCCATCAGTCAAAAAAGAAACCCAGAAAAATCATTATTGGTCACTTCTTATTTCCTCCTCCTCTGACCCCTGGCAATCACTTATCTTTATTCTGTCTCTGTGGATTTCCCTACTCTGGATATTTCATATAATGAGATTATACAATATGTGGTTGTAACTAGCTTCTGTCACTCAGCATAATATTTTTGAAGTTAATTCATGTTGCAATATATATCAGAATGTTACTCCTTTTTACAGCTTAGTAATATTCCATGCTGTAGATATCCCACAATTTGTTTATCTATTCTTCCACTGTTGAACATTTAAGTTGTTTCCATCTTTTGGCCATCATGAACAGTCCTGGTATAAATATTTCAGTACAAGTTTTTGTGTGGACATGTGTTTTCAATTCTCTTGAGCATATACCTAGGAATACAATTGGTGGGTCACATGGCAATTCTGTTTAAATATTTGAGAAACTGCCAAACCATTTTCTAAAGCAGCTGCACCATTTTATAATTCCATCAGCAATGTATGAGGGCTCCAATTTCTCCATACCCTTATCAGCACTTGTTCTTATCTGTATTTTACATTATAGCCATCCTAGTGGCTGTAAGATGGTATCACACTATGGTTATGATTTGTATTACCCTAATGACTAATGATGTTGAATATCTTTTCATGTGTTAATTGGTCATTATATAGCTTCTTAGGAGAAATGTGTATTCATATCCTTTGCCTACTTGAAAATTGGGCATTTTTTTCCTGTTTAAAAATTAAGTTGTCTTAGTAACTGTAATGGGGTATGTGGGGGGACCTGATAATAGGGGTAAATGTAGTAACCACAATGTTGCTCATGTGAAACCTTCATAAGATTGTATATCAATGATACCTTAATAAAAAAAATTAAGTTGTCTTTTTGTTGTTCAGTTAAAATAATGATTTATATTTCTGGATATAAGAGCATTTTATCCAGCCTGATAATTTCTGTATTTTAATTGGAATGTTTAATCCTTTCACATTTAGTGAACTACTCATAATGGGCTGAACAAGAAACAATGTGAATAAACTTCTTGAGCTTGGAATATATTCTCCAAGCTGCAGGCAAATCCATAAAAAAGGTGGAAGCCTTATTGGCTCAAAATGTTTAAGTGCAACATCTGACCAACGAGTGGCTCGCTACTAAGTTATGCTGACTCAGGGGTGACCCCTTACGAGCCAGGCTTAAAAATGAAAACAAGAAAAAATTTCAAAAAGCAACTGAGCAGAAAGACATCAGCAGAAGAAATGTAATTTCCAGGATTAGTGCAGGAAAGCCACTAAACAAAATAAATAAGCAAACATTGATAGAAGTCATCCCTGGGGGGAAGGGCACATTGGAATCTATAGCTGCTACAATACATGATCTGAAATATCCAGTTTCAACAAAAATAGACGAAACATGCAAATAAACAATAAAGTTAACTCATACACAGGAAAAAAATGTAATCAATAAAAACTGTCCCTGAAGAGGCCCAGATACTGGACTTAGCAAACACTTTATCATTTAAAAAGGCATAATATGTTTAAAGAACTAAAGAAAATCATGTTCTAAAATTTTTAATTTCAAATCAAACAATGTTAATAAAGAAATGGAAGTTAGTAAAATAACCAAGAAAGGAAGAAAACATAAGGGAGAAAAGAAGGGAGGACAGTAGCATTAAGGGGAGAAGAAAAAAATCCCCATGAGGAACTTCTGGAGTTAAAAAAAGTACAAACACTGAAATGAAAAACTAGAAAGGCTCAACAGCACATATAAGCTGGTAGAAGAATCAACAAAAGTGAAGGGAGATCATTAGAGATAATGTAATCTGAAGTACAAGAAGAAAAAGAGTTGGAGAGCTACACATTTTTAATAGTGAGAATCTTCTGTCTTTGGAGAAACTATGTTAGAACAAGCCAAAGAGGCAGCCTTCGTTCCCTTGAACTGCTTAGACCATTTGTGATATAATGGAATTTTGATTTTCAAACTCCAACTGATGGCCCTTTAAGTCATATGGGGCAGGGCCTTAGATCCTGCTTCCAGATAAAGCATTTGATCTCTAGTTCTGGTACAGAGTCTAACCAGCATCTGTAGGCTTGGCTGAGCTGCTTCACTGTGGGATGAATGGACTTCAACAAAATGTGAAAATTAGAGCATTCTGAAGAATATTCTTTAAAAGAAAGTATTCATTTGAAGCCATCTATTCCCTCCTCTCAACTGTTATTCAAGACAGCAAGGACTGGATTGTTGTTCTTTGCAAATCCCAATGTCCAGAAAATACTTCTCAGTGAATATTCACAAGTGGATGAATTGATTGTATATGTCCTCGACATGACTGTTGTTCAAAACATTTTCTTCATTAGGATTTATAATTGTGCACTCTCAATAACTCCACTAATTTAAAATTATCGTGTCCTTTTAAGAGGTAGGAAGAGTTCATATATATATATAATTCTCCAGTTTCTCTTTCAAATACCTATATATAGAATCCCATTTTAATAAAAGATATTATGCTCCCAAATATAATATCCTTTATTAGCATATATATTCTAAAGTAGTGGTCTTTGGATTATAGTTTCGAGAAATAATCCTTAATTTAAGTACAAGTAATTTTGTCATGTTTTTTAAAGTTAAATAAATGGCAGTTTTCTGTTCTTAAAGCTTCAAGAGAAAACAAAATCTGGATGTAGAAACATTGTACATTACTGAAATGTTCATTAAAGAAATAAAATAAGACTGACGAAAATTAGGCTTGGGGTGGATTAATGATTGTGCATTGAGCATTGACTTCCCTATACAGAATTTTATTGTTGTTAACAACCATTTGATCAATAAATAGGAGAGATGCCCTCAGCTGGTACCTAGAATTATCATGTATATAAATGTTCAATCACTGTGTTGTACACCTGAAACTAATGTAATACTGTGTGTCAACTACCCTTCAATAAAAAATAATTATCTACAAAAAAAAAAAAGATAAGAAATAAAATAACTTCTAGTTTTCCCATTTGTCACCCAAGGTAACTAAATGTCTTCAGAGAAGTTAAGTTGCTGTCACAGTCAGTTTATTTTGCGGTCAATTATTTTCCCACTGACTCAGCAGTCGATTGCTTTTCCTGTTGGCTAGAAGTTACAAAGGTCTTGACTTTCTTGAGTTAGGTCTACTCTGGCCAGAGTCAATCTGATTTGTAAGATGTGAGACTGTGGTTTAGCCTTTTCCTTAGGTGAAATGTCTGCTTAATCCAGGGGTCATGGAGGCAGAGGGAGAATCTCCCCCTCCTTGGAGGGCACTCAAAAATCCCCAAATCCTATCGATAAAGCTTTCACTGCTTGCCATCTCACACATGTGGGGAGTGATGGGCACTGTGGCTCACAAGTAACCAAACTCTAGGAGGTGATGGGTAAGAAAGGAACCTTTGGGCGTCAGTGTGTAGGGAGTTGCCTGCCTCTGAGCCCAACAGTTATTTGAGGTGAGGGCCAGAGGCCAGTTTCCCTTGCTCTGCAAGCGTCATGGGCAAAGATGAAGTAATTTTATTTTAGTTTGCATTATTTTGGAGGAAGCTGATAATATAATCAGGGGAAGTATGCCTAATGTGAGTTTGCTCTGCATAAATAATGTAATTAGGAGAAGCCTCTAACAAGTACAAAGTATATTCAAAGGCCTTGCCTCCTCCTCATATAACCACCCAAGGGGTTGCAAGAGGCGCCACTATCTTTACTGTACCTTAAGGAAACTCGGGCTTTAGATCTCCCCAAGGTTGCCAAGGAGTGCTCTCAGGACTGGTTCTGATCCAACCTCTGCTGCCGGCTGCACAGTGGCCTGGCTTGTGGCCCTGTTCCTTGCTTCTCCTTTCTACTCAGAAAGAAAGGCGAGAAACAGGAAAAAGGCAAGAAAAGGCAAGGCAGGAAAAACGGAGAGAAGGAAGGAGGAAGAAAGGAAGAAAAAATAAGGAAGAAAAGAAGAGAGGAAAGTAGCAGGAAGGGGAGAAGAAAAACCCCATGAGGCAGAAAGTATCTCTGGTCCGTGTTTATTCTTCCTGCCTTCTCGAACCTCCCCGGTCCTGTCCCAGCCCAGCTGTAGACAATGACACAACTTGTTTCTCCCTGTTTTCTTTCCCCTACTTTTTGCCATATGAGCCACTTACAAAAGTAATTTGAATTGATACAAAGGAGACCTTGAAAGGCTATTTTAGCTCATGCTCAGAAGACAGTACAAGAGTTAGCAAATGACTGGGTCCTCTGAAAGTGACTTATTTTCAAAACCTTCAAATGTCCAAATGTGGCTAAGAACACTGGGGTTCCAAAGTTCTCAGGGAACAGGGAGATTTTCAGCGTCTGCATAATGGTAGTCCAGCTTCTTTCTCCTTTTGGGAAACAGAAGGGGGGATGGGGCCTCCCATCACACCCATTAAACTAAGGCCAAAGATGCACTGTTGTGGGTTAGATGAAGTGAATTTTTCTGCTATGTTTATTGATGTCTCAGGAATAAGCAGAAGCCACAGCTTGCTCACTTCTCTACACTCTCCTGTGGCAGAATTAGCCCAGACTTCCCTGCCCTTCTCAGGGTATGGGGCATACCCTGAGCAAACAAGACAGTATTTGGGGGGCTGTGGGCATGCAATGAACTGTTCATTATATATTTGGTTATGTTGCATACTTAAATTAGAAACATAATACATAAAGTACTTTAGGTATTTAACATTGCACGTATATGAAACTTCCAAACAAGGTTTTCAACTTCTCACTCATCTTACAGAAATGAACATACCTTTTCACGTTCGGATGTTTTTGCTTGAGCGAGCCAGTTAGTTCTGATGAAGACTTTAATGACGAGGTATTCACATTCTGGATAGTTGCTATCAACATAAAACTTTGTACAGGTAGGTGAGATATACTTTTTAATTGATTTTTTTTAACAACCGTTTAAAAATTTCCAACAGTAGAAATGATCTTCCTAGGATCTAATAGCCTTTCTTTTTCTTTCACTGATACAATGTGATACTAGCAATTTTTGTAACAGTGCAGATTCTTTTCAAACGCTCACCCTGTGCTGGCAGCTGGGGCGGGGACCCTGTGAGGGCCACATTCTGGCCCAGCATGGCCACCAACCCTCATAGGCTGCTCATGGGAGGATGCCAGTGGCACTGGGCCTATGTGGCTGCCTTGAGGGATCAACACTTAAACTGACTACATCAGCTACTGGTATTACTAGGATGCTTTTCCCTCCTCGGTCTGCCTATCTGTGAAGTGGAGCTTAGTCGTACCTACCTGGTAGAGTTATTAGGACTAAATAAGTGCTGTGCCTGGCCACATTAAAGTGCTAGCTGTGGGCTTATTCAATAAAATTTAAAGTCGCAGGGCTCTGGAGTAGACCCCCAAATCACATGCTTAAGAGCCAGCTGGAATCAGACTACCTGGTTCCGAATTCTGGCTCTGCCCATCCCTAGAGGTGGGCCACAGCTGGTTAGTTAACCTTTCCAGCTTCAGTTTCCTGGCTCACATGATGATAGTGCTGGTCCCCATGGAAATGGTATACAGGTAAAGCAGCCGGTTCATATCAAGTGTTTGAAATCTTACAAGGGCAACATAAAAAAAATTTTTACTCTTCCCATGCAGAATGTATTTTTCGACCCTTTACTATTTCTTATCCTTCATCTTTGCACTCTCTGGAAGGTTTTTCCATCTTTAAAAAATAATGCCAACAATGGTGAGAGCAATGGCAAGCAGGCAGGCATTAAGGGAATTCCTTTGCAAAGGCACTGAGGCGGCCTGTGATCACTGTCTTTCCAAATCTCAAGTAAGTAGAACACATCCTTCCTCATTCGTATTTTATTAGGAAGTCACAGTGAAAAATTAATCAGTTATAAAACTTTAAATGTTAAAGAAATCATTCTTATCAAATAGATGATTCATGTAGGAATGTCACATTTTTCATAAAATCAGAAGCAGAGTCAAATACAGCATTTGATTATACAAACATTTCATTCTTATTACTTATGAAAAAGAAAAGAACTTTAAAAAACAACTCTGTGCACATTAACATCAGGGAACAGCTGTAGAGATGGGGCTGTTAAAGCTTAAATTTTAAGATCTGTAAGATAAGGGACCTGAAATTTCATCTTTTATTACAATATCTTTGTCTCTTTCCACGATATACATACACACACACATATATACATATATATATCCTCTTTAAATAACATATATTATGTATTTTTAAAGATGACTTACTTGACAACATTCATATGGTAGTTTCGGACCATGGGGTTTACTCGGTAAGGGAACAAATACCAAAAACATCAAGTGTACAAGGGTTTCCCCAAAGTGGAAGAATTTCCTTGGTTTGGGAATGTCTCTCAGCTCTTGTCACATGAGGATTTCTAAGTCTTCTGAGGAGTCATCAGCAAACAAAAGTTCATCTGGCAATGCACTCCCCAAGGGCAGCGTGCTGGACTGCGACCAGGAGACCCCACGGCTTGCGAGTCTGCCCTCTGGTAAAATGCTGTTCTTTCCTTCTGTCCCTGTTGCTGGGGCAGCATTAGCCACATCTTTCCATTCCTCACTGCCCCCATTCAGGATGTACCTTTCTTCATGAGGCTCGTTCTCATGAACTTCTGCTGTGACCACACTGACAGCAGTGCTGGCAGCACAAGATGCAATTATAGAGTCAACACTGATGTTCATGTCTAGCTTGTCTAGCTGAGCAAGTGTGGGGCCCTGTGCGGGGCCCTCCGAGCTCTCTGGAAACTGTGTGTTGATGTAAATGACATCGGCTTTGTCCTGAACTTCGGGCAAACTTTCCAACAGCTTTTCTAGCTGCAGCCTCAACACTGAAAAGGTGGGTCGGTCCAAGGACTCAGCTCTCCAGCAAGAGAGCATTATTTCATACCTACAAGTGAAAAAGAGTGAGTTATCTCTTGAACTGGCCCCCAGAGCCCTTAGTGCAATGCACCCCTTTTTTCCATTTAATCTTGGACTTTTATTTTAATCTGCACTAATTCTATTCTATTTTTTGGAAATGACTGATGTTTTTCTTATGGAGTAGTATTTTTTCAAGTTTTATAAATGTTTCATGGGTATATAAAAGTGATCCGCTTTCTCTGGGGATAAAAGACATTTGGGGCAATTATATCCGAATTTACAAAGGAGGAGTATTTCAGAGCATTCCTTGATAACAGAGATTGGCAAACTATGGCCCATGGCCCAAATCCAACCCACTATCTTTTTTTCTAAATAAAGTTCTTTTGGAACACAGCTATACTTACCTGTGTATGTACTGTCTGTAGCTGCTTCCACTACAACATTAAGAGTTGAGTAGTTGCTGCAGAGACTATATGGCAAAAATCAAAGTATTCACTATTTGGCACTTCACAGAAAAAGTGTGCTGACCCATTCTATTAACATCAAATTGGGTTTGTCACCAGGACAGCTGAGTTAGAAGGGACAAAGTTAAGGAGGCCAGAGGGTGTGGGGAAGGCAAAGACGAAGGACGTGTGTCTCACTGTGCTAGTGTTTCATGTGTGTCCCTATAGCTAATCTCAAAAGCCCTGCCGCTGCTACTCTGCCATAAAACGAGTGGGCTCAGGGACATCATGGAGCATGCCGCAGCTGTGAGGGCAGCAGGGCCAGAATGGGCACCAGCCTCCGGCTGGACAGCCCCTGCGCCCCGGCGCTCCTGAGCCCCTCTGCTGGGGTCTGCAGGGACAACTCTCTCTTCTGGGTTTCTCCATTCCCAGCACCTGATATGATTTAGAATTCTAACAGAGGGACGTGAGCACAAAAGACAGAAATGACTGCCTTAGGAACTGCAAGTCTGAGATGAAGAGGGAGTTGTACTATTACCTCCTTTTGATTCTCTCCTGTTTTGAGAAATTAATAGGCATGTCACTGGATAAGAAAACAACCCACTTTTCCATCATCTCACACATGAAGCAGATTACTGCTATTTTTTTTATGAACAGAAATATGCAATTCCCTTATTTGTATTTAATCACATTATGTAGATCCTTCGGCAAGTGCTAACATGTGGTACTTCACACATGTACAGATCTCACTTGTGTGTGTACAACTGCTCTCTTTTCATTCCATTCCTTTCTCAGCCCCTACCGACTTGCACAAGCTTCTGGGATGTGCAGCTCTGCAGAGTGCCATGCCTGTGAAGGACACAAGACACCAAAATAGGACACTTCCCTGTCTGGTGATCCTGGGTCTCACCTGCACGTCAGGCTCAGGAGTCTTTTTTCTCCCTGTTTGACCTTCGTTAGTCCACTTAGACTTGGCAAATAGCTTTTGTTTCCATTTTTGAGGTTTTTATGGTATAAATCAATGTGCATGACCTCCTTTTTCCCCACAGAGCCTTGATTGTTTATTGTCTGAGTTAAGCTTTGAGAAATTCTGTCCTTAGAGACACTCTCCTTTTCATGACCTCATCAAGGCATTATCTGATTATGTTTTATTATTTAATGTGTTGGTTTATCATTTTAATTTGTTCCATGTCTTTGAAGAAAGTGTTTCAATAATCTTTTTCATACAGCAGTGTAACAATATCACTTTGAAGCTTATTTTTCTTTTAATACTTTGTGAAATACATGAAAGTGAAATTTGACTTTTAAAGACATGGTGAGCATGTATATTGCCTAATTAGGCTCCCACAAAAGGGCGATTCCACAAAAGGACCAAGGAGAGTAGCAACAGGACCCCAGCCTGGTGAGTAATGGGAGGGCTGTGACGTTTACCGATTTCAGTTTCATGATGGAAAGAAAAAAATAAGTTTCGTAGTTGCCTTTGTAAATGGTCACTTGTTTTCCTGTTGAGAATTTATAAACCATGCAATCACATAGGCTACTAGGGGTGAGGGATGAGGGGAATAATGGGATGTTGTTTCATAGGTACAAAATTCAGTTTTGTGAGATGGAAAGAGTTCTGGAGATGTATGGTAGTGATGGTAGCACAATAATGTGAATGTACTTAGCCCTACTGAGTGGTTACATGAAAAATGTTTAAGGTGGTAAATCTAATGTATATTTTACCATAAGTTTTAAAAAGGAGTCAGAAAATATGTAATTATACAGATTTACAAAATTTATAAATTTATGGCTTTGTTCCTGCTCTGAGGATGACTGAGCACAGTGCTTCATGTCCGCTCAGAGGAATGACTCCTGAAAGGTGGGTGCCACGTCAGCAGCAGGTGTCTCTACAGTGCTAAGCCAAGGTGGGATCCTGGCTCTGCCACTCAGCAGGTGGTGACTCCCACCTCTTCTCAGGGTCTGGCTGCCTCAAGCAGAGGTTAAAGGCTTGCTCAGTAAGTAGAGCAGCATTTCTGAGAAGGGCAGTGGGAACCAGGGTACATAGAGCTGGCGAACAGCAGACACAAGTCAGGCTAGCTCTGCCCCTGCCATTCCAGGCCCAGGGTGGCACGATGAAGGGCATTGTGAGGTTGGTGTGTTGGGGGGAGGCAGGCAGTGGTATGACGATACAGAACCCCTGGTTCTGAATAGCCACAGCTTCGAGGCGACACTGGCAGCACCGCTAACAAGCGCTGGCTGCATGTGGGGCTGATGCCTCAACCATCTGCACTTGCTGGGTCCACAGCAGCTCCGTGAAGGAGAAACACATTCCCACCCATGGACGGGGCTACTGAGGCTTGGAGAGAAGAGGGATGCATGTATGTCACACTAACTCCTAGTGGCAACATGGATTTCTGTCTGACACTGTAGCCCCTGCTCTTGTGCATTACCTCTACATGTCCTTCAGTAGGAATATGTAAGAATCACTGACCTATCATGTTTACAATTTGATAGCCATCATTTGAAGTACTTTTATAGATGTGAGCTAAGGAAAGGTCCATAGAGGTGACAGGCCACCACACATCTGTCTTAAGCAATGGGCAGCAGGGTTGGCAGCTGTCATTTGGAGGTGGGGGTTATGCCTCCTAAGAAGCAGCCCTCAAAGGGCAGGATCGGCAGCAGGGCACAGAGCACGCAGAGTGCACTGTCACTTAATGTTGCTAGTTCCTCGAGTTGCCCTGAAAAAGGCCAACTAAACATGGCAGTGAGCTCATCTGTACTCGGGTGAGCAGCAGACACAGATGGGATGCTCATAGGTGTGGAGAAAGTGAAGGTTCCTGTGGCCAGGATTCTTACCTGGCCCTGGTTGGCTAGCTCACTACACACTTGGGCAATATGTCGTTAATGACTCTATTAAAGAGCTCTGCCTAGTGCTCTGGGCAACACAGTGCCATGGCTGCAAGGCTGCAGGAGAGCAGAGATGAGGTTGCAGTGGTGGCAGCACTGAGGACAGAGACTGTGACGGCTGCGGGGGCAGAGAGGCCCAGAGGCAGAGACTGGCTTGCTGCGTGCAGACTCGCTCTGCGTGGGCAGGATTCTGAGTGGATGGGATTCTAGTGATTGACCTGCCACCATGGGAATAAAGTTTCACTCCAAGAATGTTCTACTGTCATTTTTTTGGTCACATTGAATCCATAGTGAAGTTGTCCGGGGCTGAAACCCACTGGCAAGACAACAGGTTTCTTCCTCATTTTTAAAAAAGAATGCCCCAGATTTGGAAACACAGCTTCTTTGGGGGATACCTGCTTGCCGGCATCCAGGTGTGAGGGGGGAACCTGGAAAAAAGGGTTGGTTCACCAAAGCCTCTGTGAGCCTGCTGTGCGTGAGCCAGCCAACCACAGATCCATCTGCTTCTGCCCGACTTCCCCCGCACAAAGCATGTGCTGACTCTGTGACTCTTTCACCTAAAAATTCCTGCAGAAAACTGACTCAGCATGCCCTTGTTTGGGCTCCGCGTGAAGCATCTAAAAACCATAATGTGACACAGCTGAGACCTTGCTCAGACTCCCCCCTTCCCCCAGCTAATCACCATAAAAATCAACTTATTGTGGGCACAAGAGAAGCTAAGAAACAAAACTCTTAGCTTGGCAGTGAAGAAATGGCAACAACTTTCTTCATTCAGTACTGTTTGGCTGAAACTGCTTCCTCATTTTCAGAAGCAAACATTTCATTAATGGAGCCCTTTAGAAAAACTACCATGAAACCCCAGATCTAATTTAATTAGGGTTTCACAATGTTTTTAAAGGGCTTACATTTTTTGTTTCTGTTCCTCATGTTACGCATCTATTGTGACCAAACTACCACCACCAAACAGGGTGAGGCTCTGGTCAACGCCACCGCCTTCTGCTGGGCCTGAATGGGATCTGAGAGGCCAGCATGTGAGCTGACCTGGGCCCTCTCCCCTGTGTGAGGAAGCCGGGCCAGAGAGTGCGTGTGTGTCGGGGGAGAGGGGTCCTGCACACGCCCACCCGTACCAGGGTCTAGGTGTGGCGTTCCATGACAGAGCCCCTGCAGGCCTACGGTCCTGAGATGTTCTTACTAAATATGGTGAAAACGTCCCTCTCCAAGCCCATGGCCCCTGTGACGTGGGGGCGAGACCCACCAAGCTAGAGCCACTGCCACAAGGCATTATTTTTCAAAAGTCGGCAAGGTGTCTGGAGGAGGTCAATGTGGAAGGATGCTATTAACCATCAGCATCTTTGTGACATTGCAGGCTTCCTGCAGGCCGAGCACTGAACACACTTTTCTCCCTTAGCCATTCTTACCCATACCTCTCTGAAGGTTATGTGACTAGATTTTTTCCTGTGACTATTAATGAGGCCCAGAGAAGTCAAGTCAGTTATGGTGGCCACACACACATGGCTCATTAGGAGCCAGAACCTGGCCTGTCTGACTCCAAGTCCCACGCCTCTCCACATACTGCCAGCCCTGAAGAGAGAGGGGCCTGCTGGGCACACGGTCTCGCAGGAGTGCTCCAGGACATACATTTCTGGGCTTGCTCTGTGCCAAGAGGATCACAACTTCAAGCACAGGGCTAGTGATGACACTGTCAGTGTCTCCTGGGCAGTTCTGCTGATCATTAGCCTGTGAGGCCCTGGGCTCAGATTCCTAAATTCCCTGATTAAAGAAAATACTGTGATTGGTCTGTGTGGAATGTTGGACAGAGAGAGAGGGACTAGCTGCAGGAGAAGAGAGAAGATACTGATTAGGTACCTGTGCACTGTGAGGTCCACCTGTTTACCTATGGGAGGCATTTCCTAGAGGGGCTCATAGAACCTCAGGATGGGTGCAGGCTCTCCAGAGCTGTGTACACGCCAGCTCTCACACCAGGAGAGCTTCTGGTCTGGGATGTCTGCATGTGTCACCTTTTGCTCACACCCACCTGGCTAAGGGCACCCCCTTGCCCAGAGGCTCTATGTCCCCAGGTATCTGCAGAACCAGCTGACTGGCCTAGGCAGAGTCCCCGGTGATACAGGCAGTTCACTCACAGCTCATCAACGCAGTCCTCTGGCTGCTTCAGCCTGTGGCCGTGGAGAAGGTAGTCATACATCTCATGATTCTGGACCCCGGGATAGGGAGTCATTCCCCGTGTTGCTATTTCCCACATGGTCACGCCAAATGCCCACTGAGAACAAAGCAACAAGAAGTTAGGATGCAAATCTGTTCAGAAAGGCTGAATGGACTTTTTCATTGGAAAGGTCATTTCCTTTAAGCCACAGCAATTGTGCACAAAGCTGACAATTATGTCAGAAATGCACTGCTCTTCCAGCACAGCAATAACATGGGGTTGGAGCGTCCCAGCTCCCCATTTGTACTAAAGCTGTCCCGGAAAATTTGACAGAGGCTGGTGTGGCCTTCTCTCCCGTCAGTGCTTCTGTGCTCTGTCCCACTGTCGTCCCCCATTGCTGGTTAAGGTTCTGATTATACAGCAACTTTCATATTGCATCTTGGGTCCAAAGAGCCACTGGGTGAACTCAAATTTTATATGAGTGTGAAATATCTTAGTTGTGGGCAATGTGTCACTGTATTGTAGCAAAGAAAAACGGGGGCAAATTAAGGGCTTATGCAAAGATGGTTCTTCTGTATGTCAGATATGTCACCAGAATGTAGTGTTCCACCTGAATTAAAAGTTATCTAGTGCTCAAAGAGATATGTGAGCATGCTCCTGATCTTGTTTATAAATGTCTTGCAATCCCAGCTTAAGTCACTTCTTTCAGTGAACCTCCACCTTTGCAACATGGGGCTCTGTACATACCACGTCACTTTTACTTGTGTAGACTCGGTCCGCAAGGCTCTCGATGGCAATCCACTTCACAGGCATCTTAGCAATGCGGCCTTGGCGGTAGTAATCCCCACTGTAAATCTTCTTAGAGAGGCCAAAGTCAGCCACACACACAGTCATGTCATCCCGCAACCTGCAGAGAATGAGTTCCTGTCCTGAGCAACCACATAAATCACAGGTCTGCATCAGATGCCGCGGAAAACATTCACGGTAAGTCCCCATAAGATACAGAACCCACCAGCCCATGAGGGTCCTGCCTTGGGACCAATGGCAGAGCAAATGAAAAGGAGCCAGCAGAGTTAGAACCTCACGCCCCTCTGGCCTGTGTGCGGGCTGGGACCAGCAAGGGCACGTGTGCACACAGCAGGAGCAGACAGAGCAGCTGCAGTGCAGAGCCTCCTGTGCTCTCACTAACGGCCTGGTGGCCTTCCAGCCTGAGGTATGGCAGCAGCACCGGCTCTCTGCACTCAGTAAGCAAGCTCCTAACAGTCTGGGGGAGGTGAGGAGGTCTGTGTTTAAGAGGGAGACCCTGGACTTCCTGCTGAGATGGCCAAGAGGTAACTGCAGAAGTTAACTGGAAAATGAAAGGGGTACAACTGCATTTATAGGCCAAGCTGTTAACACAGATCCAGACAAGGAGGAGGGGGAGGAGGAGAAATGAGCCGTCCCGTGGTAGGGTTCTATTTGATCCATTTGCTGGACACTGATTTTTAAAACTGCAAGTCCCATTGCCTAGGAAACCCCTCAGTTCCAGGGAAACTGGACACCTGGTCACCCTGCCTGATGTGAAAAACATGAAGGAAATATTAAGGGGAAAAGGGTTTTCATGATTCTTCCTCCATGGTAGAAAAATTAAAAACCCAAAATAAGATCTTTCTGGATTTTCAAAAATGAGGTAAAAGGTAAGGGGCCAGAGGAGGACTGAGGGGGCCGGCCGCATTGCCACATCCTCAGTCAAGAAAACCCCAAATTAACAGGCATGTTTAAAGAAGACTCCCTCTTCTTGTAATAGTAAATAAACCTATGATCAAGAAATAGTTACTGTTTTGAGGATTTACACAGATAATGGTTCTGTTGAAGCAGACTGAAGAGACAGGGAGAGCTTGAGCTCAAAGCTCTCATATAGGTCCATGTCTCTGCAAAAAGCAAGCTTCGGTGTGATCACTGCACAAAACTTCTTTACAAGACAGCAACATGAAAACTTAGGGACAAACCTTTACGGTTTTCATTACTGTCTTCATTAATGGACTTACATACACCTCTGGGTCCAAAGCACGGTGATGGCAATGGGGAAGGATCACAAAGACAAGGCACCTCTTAGCACTCCTAGCTGAGTGAGTGTGAATGTAAAATAGTAGTCACAGCAGAATGGTTTGGAGGCCAGCCAGAACTCCCAGAGGCAGAGGCAATACAAACTCCCAAGCAAACACCCAGATGGAAATCTCACCACCAGACCCTCCCGAATCTAGCTCTCCTCCCTGTTTAAATGGCAACAGGCCACCCCAATCCTCCCCACCACCTCCCGATACCTAACACCTTCTAACCGCTACCAGGTGTAGCCCCTTCCAGGATGAGCTAGGACCCTTACATGCAGTTCCGAGCAGCTAAGTCTCGATGAAGGAAATTCCTGTTGCTGAGGTACTCCATTCCCTGGGCTATGTCCACCATGAACTTCAATAGAGTCTGCAGAGGAATATGCTAACGGATGGAAGAAACAAGAAGATTGTTTTTTAAAGAGGAAAACCTGGCAAGTTATTTCCACCTGACAGAGGAAATTTTTTTTATTATTATTTCTTAAAGGTGTGCGTCTGTGAAAGAAGGAAACAAACCTCTCATTTCCAAATCACTGATACCACAAAAGGGGAACAATGCAGCAATCACAAGCCACCACACTTCTTGGCCAGCATCACATTCTCTTCTCTCCATCTTTAAAGGTGCTGACAGTGAATGACATTTCTGCAGGTTATGAGGTCAAATGCAATCCGGATGCTGAGTGGCAGTGGACAGAGCACTGGTGCCATGCAGAGGGGAAGGGGGGCAGAGGTGTGTACATTGGGGGGTCTAGCATTTTGAAGGCAAAAAGCCCACTTAGAAAGAGCTGTTTCCAATGATCACCCTGATCTATCATTTCCTTTGAAACGATTGGAAAGATACTTTACGTTGAGGCAGAAATTAGGACAGCCTTCACCTCTTACCACAGGACCAAAGTACTAACGAGTAAGTGTAGAATTTCCATTTTTGTCTCTAGGGCTCTCCTGTAAGTTTCAACAGTCTTGTATCCTCTCTTTGTTGTAAAAATCAAACTAGACTGCTGTGTTAGAAAACCTGCCACGCTGGAACTGATGACAAGGCTGATGGTGATGAAGACCTCTCTGTAGGAACTACATGTTTTAGTGCAGGGAGGGCCCTCAAGGAAAGGGCTTACCACGAGTTCCCTGCCATCACGAATGGGTTCCTCCGTGACATATTCCCCCCAAGACGGTGAATTTGTCACAGCTTGTTCTCTATGGGACATGAGTTTTCCAAAGTGGAATTCATGAAGACACTGAATTTGTAATGATTTATATTTCCCAGCCAAGACTCACGTCAATCACATACTGCATATATAGCAAAATGCTTTAATTAACCCTTACCTAATACAGTGGGATTTAAAAATGCAAACAAATTAGGCATGAAAGTCTTATGCCCCTGTTCTGCATATCTGAGGCATTTGAATTTCTGGATGACAATATCCAGGAAAGGAGTCAGGTGCTAAGATATATCAAATGTTGCTAACATTCGTGAAGGTGTAATGAGTATTAGGTTCTAGTCATTTGTGCTATATTTTTCCTAGAGCAATTATGTTATTCTTGCAGATTGTGACCAACAGTAATTTAAAAGATAACTGTGTGGTAGAACTAATAAATGAGTTCAACAAGGATGCAGGATATAAGATTGATAAACAAAAATTAACTGTGTTACTATACACTAGCAATGAATAATCTGAACATGAAATTAAGAAAACGATTTCATCTAAAAAGAATAAAAATGCTTAGAAATAAATTTAACAATAGAAGTGTAAAACTTATACTCTGAAAATAACAAAACATTGAGAGAAATTAAAGAAGACCTAAATAAATGGAAAGATATCCTGTGTTCATGGATCAGGTGACCTACTGTTGTTATGGTGGCAATATTTCCCAAATTGATCTACAGATTTAACATAAACCCATCAGAATCCCAGCTGGCTTCTTTGTAGAACTCAACAAGCTGATCCTAAAATTCATATGGAAATTCAAGGAATTCAAAATATCCAGAACAAGCTTGAATAAGACCAAAGTTAAAAGACTCCCATTTACTGATTTCAAATTTACTACAAAGAAACTATCACCATAGCGATGTGGTACTGACACACAGACAGACGTACAGATCAATGGAATAGAACTGAGAGTCTGGAAATAAACACATGAATATATAGTCAACTGACTTTCATCTGGTGTCAAGACCATTCAGTGGGGGAAAGAGTAGTCTTTTCAACAAATAGTGCTGGGCCAAGTGAGTGGGACACACAGAAGAATGAAACTAGACCTCAGAGCATAAACAGAAATTAACTTGAAGTGGATCAAAGACCTAAATGTAAGAGCCCAAGTATAAAATTCTTAGCAGAAAATGTAACTGTAAATCTTTGTGATTTTGGATTAGGCAATGATTTCTTAGATGCAATACCAAAATATAAGCCATCAAAATAAAAAAAGATAAACTGGGTTTCATCAAAATAAAAAACCTTTGTGCTTCAAAGGACATTGTAAAGAGAGTGAAAGAGCCCAGAGAACAGGATATATTTGCAAGTCCCATAGCTGATGAGGGACTTGAATCTAGAATATATAAAGAACTCTTAACAACTCAATAATAAAAAGACAAATAATCACATTTAAAAATGGGCAATGGATCAGAATATACACTTCTCCAAAGAAGATAAACAAATGGCCAAGAAGCCCATGAAAAGATGCTCAACATTATTAGTCATTAGGGAAATGCAAGTGAAAGCCACAGTGAGATACTGTGACTAGAATAAAAAGAGTTGGAGAGGATGTGGAGAAGTTGGAACCCTCAGACATTGCTAGTGGGAATGTAAAATGGTGTAGCTATTTTGGAAAACAATCTGTTAGTTCCTCAGTAGGTTAAACACTGAAATATCATTAGACCCAGCAATTCCAAAATTAGGTTATCTATGAGAATTAAAAACATATGTCAGCACAAAAGTTTGTAAACAAATCTTCATTGAGCACTATTCATAAAAGCCAAAAAGTAGAAACAATCCAAATGTTCATCAACAGATTCATGACACAATATATCCACACAATGGAATATTATTTGGCCTTAAAAAGGAGTGAAGTGCTGATATATACAACATGGATAAGCCTGAGAACATTATGCTGAGTGAAAGAAGCCAGACACAGAAGAGTACATTTAGATTATATTGATGTAGATTAATTTAGATTATATGATTATATGAAGTGTCTAGAATAGGTAAATATACAGAGACAGAAGAAGGTTGCACAGAGCTGGAAGTAAGGTGGCTAAGGAGTTGGGAAGTGATAGCTGAAGGATACGGGACTTTTTGTTAGGTTACGAAAATGTCCTAAAATTTACTGTGGTGATGGGTGCAAAACGGCGAACATTCCAGAAACCATTGAATTATACACCTTAAAGGGGAGAACTGTATGGTATTTGAATGATATCTCAGCAAAGCTATTATGAAAAAAAAACGTGCTGTTCCAGGAAAGGAGAGAAGAGGGAGAAGAAAAGAGGGAAAAGACAGAGTTGTCTTTTTGTCTCTGGAGGCTGGTATGTGGTGCCTGGAGGAGCTACGACTGTCTTGTGACAGGTGGAGTAGCAGCTCTAGCTCAAGAGCAGAAAAAGTGGAACATTCTGGACACTGAATGATTCTGTTGAGGACAGAACAGACCGACTCTGGAGCTGTCCCATCTCTGGGCTTTATGGTGTGAGATCCTTCTGTCCCAAGACCAGGTCTCAGCTAGGTAATATGCTTCTCCAGCAGGGTGTGGGTGCTGGGCTCTGGGGGTCACTCTGTCCTCCATGTGAATGGCACTCTGGAGGCATGCAGGGCAGACATGCCCAAGATAGGACAAGACCTCAGTTCTCACCAGGGTGGACAGTATGAAGGGAGGCAAGCTACAAGGACGTTATGCATCAAGCAGAGATACGAGCAACCTGCTGTCGAACTTCAGCTAAGACATGAATTCTGACTGGAAAAATATTTAACTATTCTATGTTGTCATTGCGGATGTCCTCAATGGAGGGGCAGGCATTAAATGGCAAATTAAGAGAAGCACAAGACAAGGTCAGAATGAGCAAAGACTGAGTAATCTGAGAGCACATGTATGTTTTAGGAAAAGCACATTGTCTCATGTTTCAAAAGCAAAGTGGTGGAGAGAATGGGGTAATAAAGCAGGTAAGATAAGGTGAGTGGACAACTTTTGGGATCTGTAACAGGTCAGATGACCTCACCTGCATGTGATATAAAACCCAACTCAAAATGCCCCAATAAAGCTACAGTAACTAAATGGTAATTTTTATTTTTTTCACTACAGAAGTCACTCTTGTGCAACATGAAATTCCCATGCCCTCAAAAATTATTAGAAAGATCATACAACATGCAAATTAAAAGTGAGAGAAATCACCCATTAAAGTGAAACGAAATCCGTCCAAGAGGAGACTGTGTGCTGTTCGTAGCCACCTCTTGGGAGGCTGTCCTGTCGGGGGTGCCCATGGAATGGGCCAGTCAGAGAAAAGCTAAAGGCACAGGGTCTGCAGCCTGGGGTCAGTCCAGCTGCCACCACTGCCTGAGTTGTGCCTCAGTTTCCTCACCTGAGATTCTATTAGTAACTACTTCTGTGGTGGTTGTGCCATTAATGCATTAATATATGCAAAATACAGGCTGGCCTCTGCTCAGTGCTTGAGAAACTCTAGACCCTGCTGACGCCTGCAGGCAGAGGGATACATACTGAGCTCCAGGCCGTGCAACACACAGGCGTGGAATAAACAACTAGGATGTGACTGTCTGAAGATGCCAGTGATTGTGCTAAGATGCTGGGAGCTGTAAGTAGTTTTTCTTCTTTCCCAGGCTTCTTACAATGGTATTGTCTTTTTTAGGGGAAAGAAAAAGAAGGAAAACACTCAGTGTGCTGAGTCCCTACTTTGGACCAGACCTTTTACCTCTTTGGAAGAACCTCCATGATTTTATAATAGCTCTGTGATGTGGGTACAATTTCCTGTCTCTGTTAGTACTTGTCTGGTATAAGTAGCCACGAGGAAGTGAATGAAAATCTGAGCATGGGACAAGAGACGAAACAAAGAAAATAAAGGGTCCCACTCTCCTGTGTAGGTCACTTCCACCTTCCCTAAAAGAACAGAAAAAGAAAAAGGAAAGAAGAAAAAATACCCTCCTTTGTCCATAACACACAGGGTCAACGGGGCATAGGAGAGAAGGCTTCAGAATATGTTCACCTCAAATGGGGCCTCGAGTTTTGATTTTTGTTTTTCAATTGCCTTCAAATTCACCCTCAGTGTCTCTTAAAAAGGGCTCAGTTACAACTTCCCTCCACAAACTGAAACGGATCCTGCTTCCAGTGACTGCAGAGTGAACAAGCTAAAAAGGAAACTTCAAATGAAAGAGGCCACTTCACAGCATGAGGGCCCACCCAGCTCCACTTTGATGAGGCTGGGGCCATGAGACTGCTTGGACAGACTTCTTCCCTCAGCAGAACAGGACTCACACCAATGAGCAGGCCTGATGCGAGGACAGATTTCACATCTCAACCCCCGGGGCGCACACTGAACACTGAACAAAGGCCAATGCCCTCTGTCTCCCTCCTTCATTTTCAAGGTGAGATGCCCGGTGGAGCACACCCTGTCATGGGAGCCCCAGGGACTGGTCAGGGGCAGTGCACGTGGGTAATTAATTACCTTTGGTCCTGTCTCCAGTCGGGAACAGAGTAAGTAGGTGTGCAGATCTCCGTATTTCATGAAGGGTAAGATCACCATGGGCTTTGGGATGCCTTGAGAGCTCATTTCTATACAAACCCCTGAAATTAAAAACAGAGAGGGACTTACAAAGAGCCTTTGTTACCAGTGACCAGAAAAACACAGTGAGCAGGGGCACTGGCCAGGTGGAAACCAGGTGCTCTCAAGTTAGCAGCTTAAAGAAAAGAAACACTCGTAACTCACACACTGGGCTCTAGAATAGGGAACACACGTGGGGTCCACCTCTCGGCATTTTTTTCTAGCAGTCTATGCCAATCGTTGCATGAGAGCTCTCAAAAATTAGTCTATTTCAAGGACAGCCATCTAGAAACCCATGAGTTTTTGTTATATGGAGTCTAAGGGGTGGGGGTGGGGGGGTAGTAACTACAGTAGGATTCAAGGGAAACTAGTTCCATGTGATAGTTAAATAGGTAATCATATGAAGAAATTCTACTGCAACCAAATTCTTAAAACCACCAAAAGAATTCTTGTGCACCAAAAGGTAAAATCCATGTCCCTCCATTTTAACAGTCACACACAAGTAAAGCTGCCACACTGCTTGGAATGCTAGGATCTGTCACCTGATAGCAGGCTTGCAAAGCTCTCGCACACTGTGGTGAATTACAAAGTGGGATTGTTCTCAAGTCCTCTCAAGTCAATAGCTGCAAATAAGTAACAGTAGTTCTTTGACATAATATTGTAACCAAACATTTGTTTTCACAGCTCTCTACAGTGTCAATCATAATGAAACTCTGCAAGTTCCCAAAAGCATCCAGCATTTTTCAAGTCACAGGACAGAAAAAAAAAAGGCCAGCAGAATATTCCATTATTTTCAGGTTGTTCTTCCTTCTTGAATTAAGATCCCTTACACAGCAACCCCTCAACACCTGTTCTCCTCTTTTGTATTTTTTAGCGAATGGTGCCACAAAACCAAATTCTGCCTATTCAATCACATGACATACTATTGTCAGTGCAGATCCTAAGAAATCATTACTTGAAAATACGTTAATAAATTGTTTCTCAAAGATGATCTGTGGAAATTTGTCTACATTTACAGCTTTACCCACTGGTATTTGATTCAGGGATAACCTTGAGACAGCAAGAACTATAACACGACCGGCTCTTGTCTTGCCTTTCAGTAACTGGGGCTATTTAATTCACAGTCACCTAGAAGTGTGTGGTCACTCAATGTTCGTGGGCCCACTGGTGTCAAGGAAATGTAGTCTTCATTTTTACCATCAGTCTCAGAAAATGTAACCATACAGAAAAATCTTCTGGGTGAAAAAGCTAATGTTATAAAATGACTTCGGGATATATAAAGTATAAACTTATCTGTCCCAGAGATTTTGCTTTGGCAAATGGTGGATGGTCCCCGCCCCTCCGGTTACCCAAAGGAATGATCATTTCTCTGAGGTACCTAGGAGTCGGATGACATTCGGGTGGCTGAAGTCTTTCATGCATGCTGCCTCACTGAGAAACTCCTCAATCTCTCGCTGCGAAAAGTTGTCCACTAAAAGAAGGTAGAAAATATCAGGCATGAATAATTTACTCAGTGAAGGTGTGGGGGATAATAGCAATTTTGTGCTTTAAAAGTAAATCAGGAGAAGGCCAACTATAGCAACAGGAAACAGATGAGTGATTGTCAGGGACTGGTGGGGGCGGGGGTGATAAACAGGTGGTGCCAGGGGATTTTAGGGTAGCGACACCTCTGTATGATCCTATAATGGCAGACACATGACATTATGCATTTGTCAAAACCCACAGAATGTACAACACAGTGTGAGCCCTAATGTAACCTCTGGACTTCAGTTTAAATAATGTATCAGTATGGGTTCAGCAATTGTAAAAAATGTACCACAGGAAAGCATGTTATTAATAGTAGGGGAGATTGTGATGGGGAGGAGGCATATGGGAACCCTTTGCTTTCTGCCCAATTTTTCTATAAACCTAAAACTGCTAAAAAAATTGAAGTATATATTAGTTTTAAAAAAATCCTAAAATCAAATCCACTGATCTGTTGCAATTATTTTTGCCTTAAAAAAAAGAACATATGCCTCTCTCTATTACCATGTCTTGCAAGTCTGGTTGCTCAATCATGCCTTGTGAACTAGATACACTTTGATACCAAGTTTGGGGAATTAAACCAACTTAAGAGAAACATCTGAAATTCCGTATTACGCTAAGTGAAATAAGCCAGTTATTTCATAAGACTGGCTGGCATATTAAGAGGACTGTTTTATTTGTCCTCTTATTAATAAGAGGACAAATATTGTATGATTCCACTTATGAGGTTCTTAGAGTCATCAGATTCATAGACACAGATAGTAGAATGAATGGTGGGTGCGAGGGGCTGGGGGGAGCGCCAGGGGAATGGGGAGCTGTTGTTTAATGGGTCCAGTTTCAGTTCTGCAAGATGAAGAGAGTCCTGGAGCTGGATGCTACTGATGGTTGCACAATGTGAATGCCTAATGCCACTGAACTGTATGCCTAAAAAGGTTGAGGACAGTCTATTTTATGTTATGTGCATTTTACCACGATTAAAAATAAACAAAAGCAAACAAAAAGCCAGGTGTACCTCAGGAAATTTGCTTTTTCAGGGTAAGTATTGACTGAAGTCACATGTGAGAGCATCTAGTACAGTGTCTGTACATCCTATGAGCTTAATATATATTCATCTTCCAGCTAGGCAAATCTGATAAAAACTTCAACAATTCTATAGATTCACCAAATGTCTGCCAACTCTGCCTGCACCCACCACCTTTGTCACAATGAGGCAGGTGAACAGAAAGCCAGACTCCTCTTACAGTCTTTGAAAATTAGCAATGATGCAACTCATATGCAAGTTGTTCTGACGAAGTTAAAGAATAGCAGAGCCAAGCCAGAGAAGACATGCTTGCAAGCCCAGTTCCTTTTACCGGGTCCCCTCAACCTGCTGGATAAATGGGGATAATAGAGGGAGCCCTCCCGCGGTCCAGTGTGAGGCTCAAATGAAATACTGCAAGAGGCAAGGAATGCTGAGGACGGCTCAGCACCCAGACTTGTCTCCACACTAGGTTCAGCTCCAGTGAGTGCTCTGACCTTGGGGTGTCTTGGTTTCTGGAGGATAATACTGAACCTACTTCCTAGCTGTCTAATTTCCTGATGGAACACAGTTATTACTACATGTCCTTCGGCACACAGTGAGTACTACATAAGCATTGGCCATTACTACATACACATAAAAGCTTGAAAAGCAGAGCACCAGACCATTATGACTCAGTCACTATCATTCCATTTTATAACTGAATTAATACTTCAGCCTCCCATTCTGTTGAAAAAGTCTCAATACATGCTCATCATCTGTATAATATAACTATATTCTAATAGCTATAATCTAACATATGCTTAATGCCATGCAAACAGATTTAAATTATAGGAGGAAGCCAATTTTACTTTACTCCTTGATCAAAATAATACTGATTATACACAGTATGTTGTATTGTGTATATTAATTAAGGGGGTTAGGCAATCATGGGTCCCCAGGCCCCAGAAATGGGAAAGGCTATCACTCTCTGCTCATGCGGCCTGGTCAACACATGGTGATGGAAGTGTCCAGTGCAACCCTCCTCTTTTCTAGCTTTTTGACTTCAACAAGTCTCTGCATCTCTGAGGTCTAGTTTCCTTATCTAGACAGACATCTACACAGATTCTGGCATGCCCTCATTAGCACCTGCCACTGTTTTTGTAAACGTTGCAATTCGTTCTCCTCCACACGGCCACCAAAGTGAACTTTTTCTAGAATGTAGTCTGCCCTAGTTCCTCATTTGCTTTAAGACTCTAACAGTGCTCAACTAGTCTCAGGGTGAAAGCAGATTCTTTGTGATGACTTCTAAGGTCCTTTCTGACCCAGCTGCAGGCTCTTTGCCACTTGCTTAGGAAGTCTAGCTTGTGATCAAAGCTCTTCATATGCCTTTGGCCAAAGAATATTTCTCCTTTGGCTGGGAAACTTACCTTCCAGGCAGCCCTCAGCTTCCCAAGGACCATACAACCATCCTCAAGTGAGGGAGGGACCCCATCAAGCTAGCCAGATGGGCCAGACCAACCCCTGAGGTCGATGCTGCCACCAGATCAGCCCTGCCTTGGAAATTCATGCTTTACTTTGGAGTCATTAGATCCACTAGATGACAGACAGAAAGAGACAGAAAGAGAGAGATAGTAAAAATAACAATGCTACTGCCTTGGGAGTAGGACTGTATCGTGCAGGCATGGAGAGCACATCACGGTAACTTTCTCTCTGTGGCCAGAGCCCTGGATGGCCTTCTGACCCGTGGGCAGCTGCAATCAGGACATACTGACTCCATCACCAGCCGCATGGAACGCAGATCCTGAGGCAGCTGCCCACACCCAGAGGAATTGGTTTCATCAGTGGTAACTCACACTTCATGGTCTTCACTGCCACTTTCTGAGAGGTCCCATCTTGCAGATCAAGATTTCCTTCCATTACAGACCCAAACTCTCCTGTGGAGTAAAACAGCATCTTTGCTTACTTTGTACAAGATCTTTGCCAACTGTGGAAATCTCCCGCCCACAGCCAGGCGGCTGTTTCCATGTGACCCACACATGGCAGCTGGGCAGAGGCTGCTTGGGCCACCCACACACTCAAGCCAGGGACACAGGCCACATGAGCCTCCTGATTGTCACAGCTTGTCACAGCTTGGTTGGCTCAGACTAAGCTCAGCTCCCACTTTTATTAAGCATTATAACCGATCCATGAAACTTATAGGACAACATGGGAAATGTCATTGGAGTTTATAAAGCAGAAGCTCTTCATAATATGTACTTTCACCTTTGTTCCTGTTTAACTAATTAGGAAGGTGCCAAGAAGAGTAAACTTAAGAACTAGAGGAACAAATTTAACGTATATGGGAAACTGACTGATGAGTTGCATGGTTTTCAGTGAAAAAAGGGAATTAGTATTTTTCTAGGGCCTATTGTATGTTCTAGGCACTGTAGATGCCCCTTGCATGAGACAAATCTGAGTTTCAAAAGTCTCTATTTACTTTCTCACTTTAAGTTGCTAAATAGAACTATTTGTATTATAACTGAAAGTCCAAAAAAGGTATTTACTAAAAAATACATTTTAAAACATTACTGTACCTTGCTTACCTTCTTACCTCACATTTTGAAAGAATTAAACTGCTTACCTTCACCTAGAATTTTCCCAAGAATTAACAGATTCCTGTCAATCACAACATCTTCTAGTTTATTTTGCAGTTCCTCGCTGACTCCCAAGCTCTGTACTGTAAAAGATGTGACAGAGAAGGTGGAAGAGCTGTCAGTGTGCTTCCTTCCCTCTGAATATAATTAAAATTATACATAAAATAACCTGTTTTTTCATTTTGTACCCACGGCTCTCCCCTCAAAATGTCAAAAGCAAAATATACTTAATTCTGATTAACTGTGTAAAATGAATCCCTTAGGGCAAGATTAATTCTGAAGGATTATAAAAATCAGAATCCTACTTTTGTTTCCATCGTGGGCTACCAGCAGGCAGCAATCCAATTTGGTTAGGGGAGGTTTGCCCATGACTTACAGGGGGCAGAAGAGCAATCAATAGGTCCTTCTAGTGGAGTATTTACCATTATATTCCTAACTATGGTATGCAAAGGGGCTGTCAGGACACCTCCCCTGTCCTCTCCTGCCAGGAATGGAGGCACAGAAACTGCAGGAAACACTTAAACATTTACTATTCTGCATATGGTATATGGAACGACACAGAAAGTGCTAAACTGTGTACGTGGGCAAGGGGAATGGCAGAATAAGCTCTTCCATAATTAGGTGGAGATACACAGCACTGACAGTAAGTGCTATCAAGAGGAGCAAATTCAGTATCAAGAGAACACAAATTCAGTAACTATTTGGTAAATAGGGCAAGCACAAGCCTTTGGAAAAAAACATGGATAATTAGAAGAACACATTTGCTCTTAGACAAAAAATTTTACCCAAGTAGTTCTCTAATAAAGGAAAGAGATCAGTCTAAATATAATTTTTTTTAAATCCAACACTTCTAGATTAGAAAACCAAAGAAATTAATAACATTCTACATCCAATGAGTTTTTATTTCATAGCAACCTGTAGTCGATCATTCTTCTATTTGTTTTTTTGTTGTTTCTGTTTTAGACAAACATAGAGGAGCTTGAATTTGATGGTATTTGCACATACCATTGATACTACTTCTGAAATTATTCAAAAACACAGCCCCAGTCATTCCCACTTTTCAAACTAGAAGGCCTCTCTGATTCAGCAAAACTCAAATCATAATTGTAACAAAGTATATTGGCAAATTGTTCTCTGAGTTGGTTGCCAGGAAAAATAGAGGAAATGAGCTCAGACTGTCAGTTACTTTGCTGTTTCCTTTAAACCCCTGACCTCTACCCACATCTTCTCCTATCCCCCCAGAAAGTTCCTTTTTCCCTTCTGTGTTTTATGGTATTATGAGTCCTTCACCCCAACTACTTCACCTCTGGTCCAGCCCCAGATATCCAGGAAACCAGTCAGCAGGAAAGCAAATAGCAAAATCTGACTATCTACTTGTTGGTTTCTGAAGACATTTCACATATTAAAAATATCTATTCTTGGACTCCTTTGGCTTAGAAAGTGGTCAGTTAATTTGCTGTTCTTTCCTTTCTCTCAATTATTTCAACTTTTGCCAAAAAAGGGAAATTAAAGTCAACTTACAGGTGAGTTCGATGGCTCGCCGACAGAAGGACTTCTTTGCTATATAATTGACAACCAGTTCTGAATTCTCCTCCGTGAAGGCGTTCCTGGGCGCATGAAAACAGACATCTCATATAATAAAAACAAGGCCCTGGAGGCAGGTGCCATTCCACAAGGATGTTTCTAAGTGCTGCCTATTCAAAGGATTTTATGACAAAAGCATTTCCCATTGGAAGAAATATGTTTCTTTCCTCACATCTATTTTAGGCTTACCTGGATGAAAACAACTCTGTCTAGGTACCGTCACCTCACTGTTTTAAACAGTAAACGTGCTTTTATGCCTACTTGAACCAGCCCCCTCCATCCAAATTTTGGGTTTTTCAAAACTGTCTTAGTTGTCATTGCACATTTATTCTTCGAGATGAATTTTTGAATCAGCTTGCTAAGTTTTATCAATAACACTGCAGAAATTTAGAGGGTGCTTATATTGAATTTATGTTGGACTGGGGGAAAACTGATCTCTTGACAGTAATACTGAGCCTTCCCATCCATGAACATGGTACACATCTCTATTTATTGAAGTTTTCTTCTGCACTGTTGGTAAAGTTTAATAATTTTTTTCCACAGAGCTCTCATACATCTGTTATGTCTGTTCTAAGGAACATTACAGTTTTCATGTTGTTGTTGATAGGATCTTCCAGCACTTTGTCTTTAGTGTATTTTAAAACCTGAATCAAAATATTTTTGCAACATATAATGTCCTAAAAAAATACTAAATTTACTCCACAAAGATAGCAAGAAAAGAGAGTGCCAAGGGGAAACACTGGAAGAAGCAAAAAGGTATTGAATTTCCGAATTATTGGCAAGGGCAGCATTGCTACATGCTGTTCCTAAACTCTTGGCAAAAGCCACAAAAGGCAAAGAAGCATTCCTTTGCTACTGTGCTCCACCCTGGCAGGGTCACCTCAGCTGCATATTCTAGGAGTCCTTACCAGGCCCCTGGGAGCTAAGGATATCCATGGAGGCTTTGGCCACCATTTTCTTGGTTTTGTCTTTACTGAGCCTATGTCTGGGTGGCCTCATGCAAATATATCTATGAACAGCTCTGTATCAACTATTGTTTCAACAACAGTAACTATGAATTCCCACTTGATGACACAAACTGCATTCTGCCACTAATTCTTAGGAACATGAGCATCTTAGAATAGCATCTCTTAGTTACTGACTGAGCTTAAAAGCCTCAATGCAAAATCATAGCAATTAGAACTGGTAATAACCTAATAGATCATTTACAAATAAATAATACATAGGAAGCCTAGAAAAGTTAAAAGACTTGTTTAAAGTGATAAGTAGTGCTGGAACCCAGGTGTCTTATCTTCTAGTCCAGTGCTTTTCCCCTTATAATACCAGGCCCCCTGCCACCACAGGGCTTTTGCATGGGCTGCTTTTACTAGCTGGAATGCTCTTCCCCTTCTTGCTTACCTAAGTAATACCGCTCTTTCTTCAGATTTTAGCTCAGGTGTCACCTCTGCAAGGAGGCCTTTCCTGACATTCCTAATGCAGTCAAATTATCCTGTTACACACTCTCAGGTCCTTTTACATAGAACTTACTACTATTGACATTTTGTAGTTATTTGTGTGATTACTGTCTGACACCCCATTAACTGTGAGCTGCAGGAGGGTAGGGCAGAGCCTGCTCTTGTCACCATTGTATCCAAGGCTATCACCCTGTCTGGCACCTAGCAGGCCTTCAGCACATTAGTGAGCTCCTCCTGCCACTTCTGCAGAGGTTCTCTGTACTTGTTTCATAATGAGCCTATGAACCATACCTAGACTCTGGGATGTATTTTAGTCAATTGTATGTATGTTCAGGATTTAGATCAGATTTTGTCCACTTCTCTAAAATAGTCTTTTTTAGAATTTACTTACTAAGATATAAGAATTATAAGATAGAGTTGTAAGTACTAAAGGTAGCTGACCCTCAAGACTGGGAGAGTCACAAATGAAGGGCAGTCTAGCTTCCACCTGTAAGCCCATTCTCCTTGCCCATGGGAAGTTCTGGAGTGGAACATTCTAGCAACATTCTTAAGGTGGAGCAAGAAAGAACGCTGCTTGGCTCCCTCCAAGCCCATCATTCCATTCTAAGCTGTTAACAACTTGCCACTTACAAAATACTTCTTCTGCCCCATGAGTGATAGACGGGAATTTATGGAAATCCAAACTCACTGCAGAGGCACTGGAGTAGAAAAATGGAGCTTCAGAAACATCTATCCACAGAACCTTCTCTTCATAAGTTGCTGCAACATACTTCTAATTTCTGTTGATATTTTACTACTGGTTGGTTATAACAGTCAAATGTATAAAGTATAAGAAAAAGTGCTTCTTTTAAATTTGACTGTGAAAATTTAAAGGTTTTCTCTATTACAAAAAAATTGATCATTACAGAACATGTAAATAATAGTAAAAAATGATCCACAACTATACCACTCAGAATTGCTAATGCTCTGTGACTCTCCTTCCAGGATTTTAATTTATACAACATATTTCATTAATTTTTAAACAGCTTTCTTTTGAAGACTTCTAATAAAAGTCCTCATTTAAAAGCAACCAATTTGAAAAGTGAAAGCCTATTATTGATGGTCTTCTTGGTAAACAGGCCCTTTCAAGGCTGGCATTCGCTGCGGGCTGACTTTGTAGCACCAGCTAAGTGAGGAAGCAGCCTGCCCCTGGGCCGTGCGCAACACAGGCGCCCAGCTGGGTACAACGTGAGGGGCTGGGCCAGCAAGTGAGGCACTGCCACTTAGCGTCAGCCTGGATCCTATCGCTGGGAACCCTACCACCATTTTAAACTGGGAAACTTACCCATACTTCGTCTCCTGGACTCTTCTTCGGATGGCCAGAGAAATATATAACACTGAGCCAATCAGAACAAATCCACAAAGGCAGCCAAGGATGATGAGCACTGGATCTGTGTTGCCAGGAGCTGGCGTTGACGAGGGGGCAAAATCTACCAAACCTGGTAAAACACCAAAGGAATCATCAATCAAAAACGTCTCTTTGGAATCTGAAATACATAAGGAATATTGATTGGCTTGTAATCGGAAAGAACAGATAGTTAGAGCTCTAGACCTTAGTGCTTTTACGTTTTAGAAACACACGTGCAGGCAGTCTTCCCCTGGCTGGTGCAAGCTGAGCCCAGGCAATGTGATCCTAGTAATGGATTGGTGACTCTTTTCATGTCAGTTACACATGTATTAGGAATTGAAAAAAAGTGGTAACACAGTATTTATTCGGTGCGCTGCAACTGACCGAGAGCAACACTGAGAATTAAAATGTTTTCTTTCTTTGTAAAAAGCTTCTATCAAGAGTAGTTAGAACAGTGCCTGCCTTCTTCTAACCACAGAACTTGTGCTACGGAGAGAAGATTATTTTCTGTGCCCTGGTGAACTGTCATACTCTCTCAGTTTGGATCCATTTCTAACAGTTTATCCTTTGTGCTTTTGCTGTTGTAAACCATGTCTGAGAGTTCCTTATGTGAAGATTTTTGCGGTGTAATGTTCTCTGGGGTATCATCTTTTTTAGCACAGCCACTTTGCTCATATTAGTTCACCTTCACCGAGCTCTGTGGCTGCATTATCTCGAGTTCATCAGTGACAAACTCGCCCAGGGTCAGCCATTTCTTCCGAAACTCCACACTCAATTCGTATTTCACTTCCAACACTACCAGTTTTCCTTTCTCTGCTGCCCTTTCATCTTTGTTCACCAACTTCCCCCTTCAATTACCCATTTTTATAAAAGTCTCATGTGGGTTTGTCCCTGGGAGACACGGAGGCAGCACAGCTACAGGCCAGGTTAGAGGTGTGTGACCCGAGTAACGGAAGCACAGAGCGTGGCCGCTGACAGACACTGGAGGAAGTGGCCTGCCCAGTCCCGGTCATGATGCTCACCTGCGATGTGTGGACTGAGAGCAAGCGATGAAGTTTATACTTCATGCAATTATAGTTGGTATATGATAACTCGAATTTGAACCGTATTGTTGGGGAACTGGTGCTATTTAACTGTGGCAACTGAACTGTATACATTTTGGAATCATGTAGGGCAAGGACTGCCAGGACAGCTAAGCTTTTTAAAATTTGGGGAGTTTTATGTAGGAAGATGAAAGCTGTGTCATCTTATACTCTGATTTTTCAACTGTGCCTTTAGAATCAGAATCTCTTTGAATTTCTACCAGGCAGACCCGCCTCATATCCCCATCACCAGTTACTAATGATCCCCAGTTACAGAGGCTGCGGGCACTGTAACATGGCTCCAATTCAGCATTAAAGGGAAAGCATGTTTGTGGGTCACAGAACAGACAGGCAGCAAGTCAGTGCCAGCTCACAAGTCCCGTCTGCCTTGGGTACAAAAGCCATATTTGGCAAGAACCTGTGAAAGCACAAATCACACTGATATACATGGTCTGTGCATGAAGTTTATGAGAGCAGTTTAATATCCACAACCCAGGCAGTCACAGCCGGAACAAAGGTGGCTCCACTGGTCTATGGAAGCCAGCACAGAGTTTGGACCACTGGGGGCACTGCGATGGCATCTTGCCAAAGGACACTCAACAACATGCAGAAGCCAGCATGCAGGGGTGGGCATTTAGCTCTGTGAGCCCAGCGCCACCTAAGGACGGCTTCTCTAGGAACACTCCATGTTCTGTACCAATCAATCATAAAACACATTACCCAAGGCTTGAATGAGTAATAAGGTGGCAAGCTGCACTGCTTCCCGAAGCAAAGCAAACACTAGCAAATAATGTCCATTATACAGAGTAAGGATTACCCAAAATTCATCATGGACACATCGCTTCAACTCAATTCAATAAATCAAGTCCAATTTGGTATGCTGAGAGGACTAATCTTCCCACCAAGTTATCACCACCACTAGTCAAGCAGCCGGAGGACTCCCGAGGATGTGTAGCTGTGAAGTGTGTCATCCGATCAACTCCCTTTATTCTGTAAACGTTCCCTCTGGTCTCTATTTTTCATTCTCAAGCCAGAGGCCCATCGCACAGGGCTCTTTGGCAACTTCCCTGCTTGGGCTGACGCATTCTGGCAGCGACAAGGACCCGGCTCTCACCGTGCGCAGGGATGAACATTCTCACAGGATCACTGAAAGGCCCGACGCCCCCTTTTGTGACGGCTGCAATCCTCACTGTGTATGTGGCGTTGTGCGCCTGGACCGAAATCTGAGCCCGGCTGCCATTCTGGCCGACTTCCTCAGACAGCTCTTTCTGGGGACAGAAAACAAAGGAAAGGAAATGCTGGGGCCCCGGGGCACACCACTTCATGCCACAGTGCCTCCTGAGGGAGGCAGTCCCATCTGTATCCCACAGCATGCCCTCCTCACTTGGGCCACAGCCCACAGAGCCAAAAGGTGGGTGGGATGCAGACTCAGGCCCAGGGAGCTCGGCCAAGGAGGGCCACAGGGCACGGCACTCAAAGGTGGTCAGTGGAGAAGCTCTGGAAAGGTGGCAGCACGGGTCAGCGCAGCCAGGTGGCCAGAGCAAGACTGAGTGGAGGCCTGGCCCTCAGAATCACCCACAGTGCCCAGAGCCTCCCTGCAGACACTGACAGCCTGCCAACCCCCCTCGAGCCAGCACAGATGGACTCCTTGTCCTTGTAACTGTAAGACTTTTGACTAAAATCTACCTTTAGGAGGGCACTGACACTATTTTTGTCCAGGGTGACTGACACATGAACAAATTTGCTCTGTTTTCAAAAATCTGTTTTCACTTCTATGTATTTTGTTTTAAAGCCACTGCCATGTAACATGAGCCATAAAAGCATAGATGAAAACGATTTTTGGAAAAAAAAACCCAAAACCAGAACTGAATGTTTATACATTTTCTCTTTTGTTTCTGAACCTCAACTATGAGGATGCTCTCTGGCATAGGAAACTAATTTTGTGTTTTGTGTGTAATTCAAGGCTGGGTCCTCAAATGGTAACTGTAGGGGTTGTGAAGTCTGAACTGAAGCCCTAGAAACACATCTATCTCTCTGAATTTTAGAGATTTGATTTCACAGAGTGAAGGAGAGAAATGTCATGCCCTGTGGAGCACTGGTATCACGATCACGCACGAGGGGCGGGGGCCTGGTTTGGGTGGGAATGTAATTCCATGGTCACTCAGTCTCACACTGGCCACTTCTAACAATGGCACAGGGTGGAACCAGTTCAGCCCCGAAGGAGAGGGCAGTCCCACCATTCATGAGCTGGGTCCGCCACCCAGAGACTGTTCTGCACAGGCAGTGACCATCAGGACCCAGACCTGTCCTCAGACCAGGGATGAAAAGGGCAAACAAGACTTTCAATTCTTTTTTTTTTTTTTACACCATTGGACTCTGTGCCAAGGATAAGAAAACAAATTAATAATGAA